TCACCCAAAGGATAATACTAATCTAGAACCAGGAGGATATAGTCCAATAGGAGGGTAAATAGGCAAGGGACACACAAAACCCCTGGCCAGCAGCAAGATACTCAAAGCTACTACCGCCAACACTATTACCAACGTATACCCAACCGCGCCAGCCACGCCTTCAGAAGCCACGTCAAATACACCCTGGATTTGGAGGAGGTTACCCACCTAGAGGTAAACCTATCCATTAGCGCCTTTAAGAACAGGAGGAGGAAATCCGGTCCCTTCAACGCCAAGTCCACCAGCTGCTGCCGCCGCCGCCACCTCGCAAAGCTGCCTAGTACTGTGGTCAAGATACCCTAGATAAAGACAATAAGGAAGAAGACAATACTACTAGTTACACTGCAGAAACAGGTCCCTAGGATAATAACAATAGATCTATTTACACAGGGGATTATCACTATAACTTCAATAAATCTAACTGCTAGCCAGTAGCCAACAGCCAGCCTACTTTTAGCTAACTTACCTATAGTTAACTAGTATTTAGCTAACTTGCCTATAGTTAGCTAGCATTTAGCTAATTATCCTATAGTTAACTAGTATATAACTATTAACACTACTAGCCTATATATATAACTAACTAGCCTATATATTAACAACCTATATATACGCCTAGCTAGCTAGCTTATAGTTAACTAGTCTAAAGTCTATACCTATACCTACACTTATATACACCTAGCTAGCTAACTTACAGCCAGCTAACTTACAGCCAGTCTGCGTATATACCTAACTAACTAGTGTACTAACCTAGCTACTATTAACCTAACTACCTAGCTAGTAATAATAACTAGGATTACAGTAGTAATAATAATAGTAACACTATTAAAGATAACACTAATAAATATAGGGACTTTAATAACTACAGAGATAGATATAGCAACAATAGATATAGTAACAGTTATAGTAATAATAATAACTATAACAAGGACTATTAACCTTTAACTATTAACCCTTAGGTATACCTTTTCTATAATAGCTATAATAGCCTTATAGAAGCCTAAGGTATATAGTTAATAACCCTATTAACTAGTAATTAAATAATTGCTATACAACAATTATTTCTATTATTAGGGGGGCACTTGTCACAGGACAATATATAGCTAACCTTTAGATCTACTTTCTTAGCCTTGCTAATAGATCTATTAGTTAGGCTAATATCCTGCCGACAGCTAGTGCCCCACTAGGCCCTACCTGTCGCTAGTCTATAAGACTAGCCGTTGCTAGCTATAGCTCTAGCTTAGTTAGTTATTAAATCTATTACCTATTTAACTATATTAACTAGTAGGCTATACTAATTAGGCTATAGAAAACTAGTAAAATAAAGACAAAGGTTAATATAAGAGACTTAAAGAATATACTTACCTTAAACTATATATTTTTTTATTTATAGGTAAAAACTTAACTTAAGTATCTATTTATATAACTACCTCTAGAGCTAAAAGCTAATATCCTTTAACCTAATTAGGATAGTAGCTCTTAAAAGCTATTATCTAGATAGTCTTCTCTTTAGTAACTAGGGTAAAAAGAATCTTTACTAAAGCCCTAGTAGACTATATTTTTACTACTAAAGCTTTTACCTCCCCTAGCTAGCTTTTAATTACCTAAATATTATAATAAAGACTATATAGACCTAATTAGTTTATTTAAGAGGTTATACTCTTAGTAAAAAAGTTAGAGAACTATAGTTAAGATTAAAGATATTAAGTAAGCTTTAGTAATAGTTAGCTAGTAAGATTAAAAATAAGTCTAGTTATAATTAATAGAGTAAGCCTAGGTTACTAACCTTAAGATTAGGAGGTCTAAAAGTGTACTACCTTTGTCTAATTAGGCACTAAAGAGACCCCTAAGTAGCCCTAAGGAGAAATAAATAAAGTAGCCTTAACTATAAGTACTTATAGACCTTAAGATCTTTAAGACCTTAACTAATATAGTATAAACTATATACTAAAAGGTAAAAAGATAAAGATATACTTTAGTAGTTACTTTAGTAAATATAGAATAATAGAAGGCTTTTCTAAAGAAATAAAAGTTAAAAAGTATTCTTTACTACACTAGAGATAACTATATTAGAATATTCTTTAGCCTTTATAAACTAGTAGTAAAAGAAATAAAACCCTAGACCTTATTCTTACTTCTTACTATAGCCTCTAGTTAAGAAGGCTATACTTAATATAAGCAAGGACTAGTCTAAGACTAGGCCTTTAATAAGGTGTAACAAGAGGTAAAATAAGAGAAAGAATAGAACTAGCCTAGTATATTAAGTTATAGCTTATACTACTATAAGTAAGTAAGACTAGCCTAATTAAGGAAAAGGGAATAAAGGAGAAGAATATAAAAAGCTTAAGGATTATATTACTACTTCTTAAGGTTTTATATTTTTTTATTTTTACTAAGTATATAATATAAGATAAAAAGAATAAAGGATAATTAAAATAAGGTAGAATTTTAGGTTTTTCTTTAAGTAGTTTTTATAAGTGTTTTTCTAGCTAGTAAAGCCTTAATTATCTTAATTAGGATATTAAATACTAATTAAGACTAATAAGATAGACAGGATATAGAATTTAATACCTATAAGTTAACTTTTACTTTTAACCTTAACTTTATTATTATAGTAATATAACTAATCTTAGATATTCTTTTAATCTTATATACCTAATTAGGCCTTTTTAGCCTAATTAAGTACTCTACTTACCTTATAATTATATAACTAAATAATAAGACTTTTTATATATAGTTCTATACTACTTAGTAATAATAGTATTACTAACTAAGTTTAACTACTAACTAGAGGTAGACGTTTAATTAATAGACCTTAGCCTTAATTAGACTAAGATCTATTAATTAACGTTATTATCTTCTTAGATAGGGGTTAGTAAGTTACCTTTGTGTTTATAGGCGCTTAGGGTGCACTAGCAACAAGACCTTTAGGCAGGGTTATTTAGATTAGTTATATATATGCTAGTTATCCTACTGCCTTACGTATTAATATCCTGCTTAGTTTTACTAGTAGGTGCCTTTCTCCTATTAAAAAGTATTAAATATATATTAAGTAATTAATAAGTACTTACTATAGTTAACTTATACTCTATAGTTAATAAAGAAGTTATATAGACCTATTAAGACCTTTAAGTTAATAGCCTTAAAGTTACTAATAAGCTAATTAGTAAGGTCTTCTTGTGTATAGTAAAGTAATTTACTACTAAAGTAGTTATTATACTTAGATTTACTAAAGTAAAATATAATAATAGTGTTAAGTATAAAGGACTATTACTTCTTTATAAGGTTAGTTAGTAACCTTATAATATAATTTTTCCTTTATTAGTATAAAAGAATATACTATATAAAAGCAAAAGGTATAGTAATAATATTATTTATTACTACTATTTTTTTTATTATATTAAGTAGTATATTATATTTACTATAAATCTCCTTTTCTTATTACCTTATAAGTAAAAGTATAGTAACTTATAAGCCTTATTTACTTATAAGCTTATTATATTTACTTATCTTAGTTTAGGTCTTTTACTTATAGGTATAGTGTTATTTACTATTATCCTCTGTTAGCCTAATAACCTCTTAAATATAGGCATTTTTTCTAGTAGACTAGAAGGCGTATATATTTATTAAAGGGATTACTACTAGTAGTATAAATAGCTAAAGAAAAAATATACTCTTATAGGTAAATAACTTAGAGAAAAATAATAGGCTATTATATTAGCTACTTATTAGTGCTATTAGTTAGTAAAAGGAGTATATATATAAAAAAAAGAAGTTAGTAAGCTAAAGAGCTTATAATAAATAAAATATAGTAAGTAATTACTAGTTAACTATAGGTATATAAAGTAAAGGGTTTTTTATAGTTAAAAGTGTTTTTCTAAAAGTAATAAAGCTTATATAATAGACATAAATTAATAAGGTTTCTACTAGTTAAAGGGACTAGTTATAGATCTATTAATTAACCTATTATAATAGGTAATTAGTATAATATTATAGTAAAGGTATTTATAGAGGTGTTTTTTAGTCTTTACTTACTTTAGGTATATAAATAATTAACTAGTAATAATTACCTCTTCTTATAGTCCTTACTAATCTATAGTTTAAATAGTAAAGTTAACCTATATAGTTAATAATAAAGTTAACTACTAATTAGTATTAGTAATACTAAGGGATAAGTTAATATAGTTAACTATATATATTAGTAGTAATTAATAAATAATAGAGGGTAACTGTAGTTCTTTATTATATATAAAGAAAAGAAGGATAATTATTGTAGGTTAGTTAGTTAAATAACCAACTTATTGCCTACGAATCCCTAGAGAATTCTATGGCCAAATATCTGAGGATTCGCCGGCGATGAGTCATTGGGGTTAACCCGATAACTCCGATATTTATCCGCGATGGTCAACATTGCAACAGTTTTAATCTCGAACTGTATTTCTGCCTGGTGAGAACCGACGAGCCTTTCTTAGGAAGGATACAATCGACCATTGTACGGGGCCTGCGTCTCTTCGTCATTTGGGACACCGCGATTTCGGTGAGAAGACTCCGGGCCAATGATATTTAGTTCTCATCCGACCGTTGGGACGATTGAGGCGCGTTGAAAGAGAGCCAATATGGTTGACGCTAGAGTCTAATCAGCCGGCGGAAAGGAAATATGATGCACCCCTGTCTGAGCTTGTTGGTTGGAACTGCGGTTCTTGGTCCCTAATATTTGCCTAATGCGCATCAATAACAACTAGGCTACACAAGTCAGTAGATCTGGTACAAAAGGTATCAAGTCGCATGTCAGGTCAAGAGACGAAGCATGTCAATACAACTGTTGCGATGCTACGGAAGTCAAATTCATCGTGCTACGAGTATCGGCATGTGGTCATTCTCCTCCAGTCGCTTACACGTGACGTTAGTGACAAGCATAAAGGATCAATTCCTCAAGCAAGTAATCACCTGGTTGACGTCGGCGACGGGTGTGAAGTTGTTTTTTTCATAAGCCCTGATTATTTATGTGCAGAGCTATCTTCTACTAACTTGAGGATCTACGGGTAGAGTGGACCATGTCTCATTGGTCTGGCCCCAATTTGCAGTATACTGATGGCAAGAAACCCCAGGTCAATGACGATTCTTTCAGTGTATTTTGTTTGAAGAGAAGATGCTTTAATCTTAAGTCTATGGTTTCTTTCTATGCACCATTAATTATCTCTTTCTCTTTTCTTCTTATTTCTTGAGGCTGTCCTTGACACCAGTCTGGATCGCCTTCAGAAGAGCGAAGTCATATGAGTCTTCACCCAAACTCCAAACCGAAACGCCACCAACGCCACGGGCCTTGACGATTTCATTGAACTTGCGGGCAACAAGAGCCGGGGTCTCCCAGGTCCAGAAGAAAGGACCGGCGGGATCCCAATACCACTGGCCACCTCTGGCCTCGTCGGTCTTGCCGTTTGCAAGAGCAGCCTTGAAAGACCCCAGAGTAGAGGTACCGTTGCAGACACCATAGTCGGATTGACAACCGTTGCCGCAATGAGCCTCGGTTGTACCACTGGAGCAGTGTCAGTAAGTAGTGCGACCGGCGTATTACCAGGTTTCACTTACCAGAAGCCGTACTGGCTGCAGCAATTGCCAGTGGGGCACTTATAGAAAGTTCCGGCGCCACAGGAGTCATCAGGAGAAGTGGTCAGGTTGGTAGGAGTGGCCTGGAAATTGGAAGCCTCGAAAGTGATAGCTCCCGATTTTCCATTGTCGGAGCCATCCGCAGCCTCAAGCAGTTGGGTGGGACATCCGATCCCCTGAGTACAATCGTAGCCGACGGCAGTTGTAAACCATTTCGCGTACAAGGCGAAGCCGAGATTGAGCTTGGCAGGCTCAACGCCAAGCGCAATGTAGGTGTCGATGGCCTCGAGGGAACCCTTTACGTCGGTATGGTGCTTAGTGACGTTGTCGCGGCGGTTCATAAGATCGTAGGTCATGACCTATATTCAAAATTAGTCAAGTATATTTTGATACGCCAGCCCTATGCTATGCCTCACAGTGAAGTGGTCAACGGCCGCGTTGATCTTAGGAACTTGTTTCTTGGTGAATGCAATCATGTCGCGCTTGAGACCCGGGGCGGTAACGGAGAGCTCCATATTGTGGTGCTTTAGCTGAGTTTTGATTGCAGAAAGAAGTAGAGGGAATTTGTGGATCTCGTGAGTTTTATTGGCGTTCGGGATCTGCCTGTAGTCGGCTCCATTGCCGGCAGGATACTCCCAATCAATGTCTGTTGTCATTCTTTTCGATCAGCCGTTGTCCATAACGGACTTCTTGGATGTTTGCTTCACTGACCGACACAGTCGTATCCAAGGTTGACCGCGGCATCGGCAACATTTCTGGCGAACTTGCTGCGGCTCGAGTTGGTCGAGGCACCATGGCTGAAGCCATCCGTATCACCCCAGCCACCGATGGACATGCAGACCTTGGTGCCGTTGTTGAAGAGGGCCCGAATCTCATTCAGAGGCTTGAATGGCTTATATTCGCCCGCCGGCTCGGACGCAAATAGGGACGAGTTGGTAAAGGCCGTGATGACGTGAGTGACACCGTCGGTGATGGATTTGTCGGGTAAGCCGGCCGTGTGATACCTATATTAGAATCAGACACCGAGCCGCAGGTGTTCGGAGTGCAGGGTTTTCATACTGGTCAAAGTACATGACATAGCGGGGGGCCGAGACTGGAACAGGTACTGAGTGTGGCAAGCCAGAAGGAATCGGAATAGTGGCAATAGGCGTCCATGGTACAGGGCCATCGTCACTGCGATAGGCTTCCGAGGTGGCCTCAACAGCCAGAGCGGCCACAGCGGCCAGACCAAGAGTTCGGAGCATTATTACTAGATGGGTATTAGTGAAAGAGAGTGGGTGCTCGAGGGGTTCCTGAGGCAGTTGGGTACTATGGGTAAACAAAACAGTGACAGTAGAGGCGTTGGAAGCGCTACATGATAAAAGTTCAGTCGCACGTTGGGATGGTTGCCTCTTTCATATACTCATCAAAGGACCCCGTTATCCAAGCATCTATTTTTGCTTTGAGCTCAAACTAGCGAACCAATCGGGATTGTGGGTAGTGCACCGGGCTTAACTACCGGTAGCCAGTCACGTCGTTCGAGGTTTTCAGGCTGAGCAACAGCTCAGCCCATTGCGGCAATTTGTGTTACTGGAAAAGATTGGACGGCAAACTGTCAAATGGATTATGAGGGGGGGTAGGGTTCATCCCGAAGTGGAACCCGGCTGTACGGCACCTCGCAGTGTCAAGTAGGAGGTATAGACGCGCTGGTCATACTACCGTATCCTCTGACTTAACTGAAAAACCGCACAGACCACACGCTAGACCCCTTATAGAAAGCGGTCAACCTACCCACCCACCCACTTGCCCACTTGCCCACTTGCCCACTTGCCCACTTGCCAGCCAGCCAGCCCATCTACGGTCAACTTCGCCAACCCATCAACCAACCCATCAACCAACCCATCAACCAACCCATCAACCAACCCATCAACCAACCCATCAACCAACCCATCAACCAACCCATCAACCAACCCATCAACCAACCCATCAACCAACCCATCAACCCACCACGATATTCACGATGCCCAACCGCCAGCCGCCAGCAACGCCGTTACGCAAGAAAAAGGGCAAAAAACCTACGCCTGTTGCTCTTCGACAATATACGGCAAAAAAGCCCTGCCAGCAAGCTCAAAGGTTGTATCAGCACCTAAAGCAAGTTAACGTACTGCTATACCTTGAGCACCACCGCTACCCAATTGATCCATCCAGCCAACGGCAGCGGCAGCGGGCTGGCGATACCTAATTGGACCCTGCCAACGGCCTCTGCTGCCTAACCTTTTAGGAGGCTGCTGCCCACTTCAAGATCCCCTTTTCAACAGTAGTTAACTAGTATTAACGGCAAGACACTATTATTAACCTAACTGTACACAACTATTAACCTAAATAGGCAGCAATAGAGGCTAACCTTTATAGCCACTTTTAAGAACAATGTGCTAATAACAAAGTGGTTACCACTGGATAGTTTAGACGGGAAGCCTAGGCCCTTTTTACAGTAAGATACCCCAGCACTTTCATTAATAAGTATCTTCCTGCCTACCCCTTCTGATTCTTTGTAGGCTGGTTCTACAGCTTTCTTACACAATGGAACATTTCACACCGCTGGCTTACAAAGTAAGCCTTAAAGCTACCTACCAAATACCTTGCAGTTGTTACCAGCTTCCTCCACTTTAACCAACGCGTTAGCCAGCCGTCACTGGCCTAGCAGCAGCTGCCCATTGGCAGCCTCCGTTTTCCACCTAACCGCATCGTTAACTTTAATAAGACCCCTATACCTTTCAAATACCTTAATAGATCTACGTGGGTAGCCAAGGGGTCCTGTACTATGGCTAGCAAAAGTGACTACAGTGGCTAAAGTAAGCAGTAAGCTACCTTAATACTCTATATCTTTGCTAATAGGGTTCTTTAGCTACTACCTAAGTTAATTTTTTATAATATACCTATAAATAACAGTGGTTTAATTAAGGCAAAGGAAGGTGAGAAATATAGTAATAAAGTAACTGTAGAGTATAATAATACTGCCTATAACAATAAATACCTTCTTAGGCAGTAGCTAACTAACGAATTCTTTTCTCTTATAGTAAAGTAAGAATACCTTCTTGTTATAGACGTTGTAACCTTTTATAAGACCCCTGCTATATTATTAGCACTTTAATCCTACTATATTACTCCTAGCCTTATACTACCTAATACAACCTTCCTCCTTTAACCTCTTAATACTGCTATTAACAAGCCCTTTAAGCAGTAGTTATCTAAGGCAATAGACAATTATATATAGCAAGTGGAGCAAGCAGCAGCTGGCTAGCCTATTAAGTGGTCTACGTTAATGAAGCGCATTATGGTTACCTATACTATGGCAGCAGCCACCTGTTGCCTAGCTAGCAGGGCCAAAATAATCCAGTAATCTTTTCTACAGTGTAGTATTAGCAGTAACCTAGATAGCAGTGACATCAACAAGATCAAGATCAAGGATATCCCTATTAAGAAGATATCATAGGATGGATAGGACACCTTTGACTGTAATAAGTACGTCAAGAAGGAGATCTCTAATGTGGAGATACCTGACGTAAGTGTTAACAACGACGGCCTTAAGTATGTATTTACAGCAGAGGACGTCCAGCAACGCATTAAAAATAACCCATTAGCATCTGTTAGGTTAGCAACGCGTGGTCGGGCATAGGAAATCTAATGCTAGCAAGAAGGTCAATGTGCTGGCCCTTACACCAAAACTTACTTCTTACGTACATGACTAACCCCTGCTGTTGCCACTGCAGATCCCTGTTTCTGCCACCACGCCAGCCCCTTTTCAGCAGCCCGCGGTCTGTGCGGTTTTTCAGTTAAGTCAGAGGATACGGTACGTAAGCCAGAGTGAATTCGATGGTCCTGACATGAAAGGGGGAGATCAACATTCTCATAAGCTTAAAGTGCTGCTTTGAGCCAAGCCGGAAATTAGCGTGGGCCCGACTTGCCCGGCAACAGGCTCACCGGCTAGGATGGGCCTGTCCATACCTGTTCCCGACTGAATCATGTCATAAGGGTACTAACTAGGCAGTATAGTAGCCAAGGCGATTGACCAAACAGAAAGGCTTGGTAGAAGCACGAGCCTTTGAGCAATTCAACTTTGAAGGGCCAATTGGAGTGGTCCATGCTTTGTCGCAAAAACTTGACGGCCCACTCACCCATTTACGAATACGTTCCGCATGGGAAACTTCTGGATTTCAACAACTCTCGTGTTTGATGTCCGGGCTTTCCGTTACCTAGGGATAGATGCAACTATTAACAACAATGAATCCCGTCTGCATATATATTGAGAAGCATGCATATAGCCAGAACACCCTACGTACTATTATTGCTTTGGTTTTGGAAAGAAGACAAGCCTAATTACTTTGCTGAAGTGTAAGAATACAAAGTGCCATTTGCCTGTCCGATGTGTTCAGACCAAGCACTAGTCTGATTACCCGCCCTCTCAACAGTGGCTCCTGCTTCTTGTCATCCGAGCTTTGTCGTTGCTATGCGTACGCGACTCACAGGACTGCGTTTATACCCAAGAAGTGATATGAGTGGCATTGTTGGTTATCGCCAAGGGGTGGATACCTTCGACTGGGCGAAGTATCAGTACTGTACCTCAACGGATGATGTGTTGTTAATGGATTTCAGAACCCTCGGCATCCCAGTCGTTCCGAACCCGACGGTGCTCACATTTCAAAAGATATACCATACTTCACCGAACCAATTGACTAGGCTTGGTGTCCTATCCTCCGGGGGTTTTTTTTTTTTTTTCTTTTTGCCCAAGGCCAGCTGATGGTTGTTGTAGATGATGTTTTGAAACGCAACGTTAAGTTATAAGAATATTCTCTTGTCCTGTTTTAACTCCCTAGGAGTGTGTTTAACAAAGAGAAAAAGGGATGATGGCGTGTAGGTCTGTTTTGGGCATACTTCAACGATCCGGCCTGAATATTGACAAGACTTAATGTCCACTTACGATTGAAATCCTTTGCGGATCAAGCTTCTTCAAGGAAGGCCCACAGTAGCTGACGGCTATTTACAATTTTATCTCTGCTCTCAAAGGTTCTGTTTTGCTCGCTAATATAAGCAAGATTGATACTTACAGCTCTCCGAATCAGTGCCACCTCGAGGCTATGGGAAAGTTTATAGGGTTGAAAGTGGCTTGTGTTTCTACATAGAAAATCCTCCACGATCTGGATAGTATAGGATGAGGGTATACAACACGCTTCTTGTTCTTGACTGTCCCTACTGACATGAATAGCCCATAAAAGCATCCTACTAGGCGATGTTCCATTTCCTGATCGCTACAGTTGTTGTAACCTGGCGTTTCAAGAAGCGCATTTGTTCATCACCGCTCTCATACATATCCATCTTCGCGCCACTGCCACTGCCTCGAGAGTTTGATAGATCAGTATGTCGCAATCGTTACGGCCAGAACCCAGGATCTCCAGACCTGTATATTCTGGTGCTGCCTCTATTGAATGGCGTGCAATGTATATATTTGTGAATACTCGGCCGTCTTTCTAAGTTTTAGGGAGCCACATATGTGTTGTGCTGAAGACCTTGGAGCATCTCATATAGCCGTTCTGCCATCGATACGAAGCCACCAATCCAAGGCTATATATCCAATCGCTTTGCTACAGAGCGTAGTTTCTCATTAGATGAGGCTTCCAACCCAATGACTTTTTCGGAATGGCTGGGTGGCAGTGGCATACGTTGAGCCGGACGGGAATGCACAGAGCGAGCTGTTCGCGTGGAGGTTGCGCGAAGGTACACCATCTATCTGACCTGTATGACCTGATCTTTTTTTATTTGAGCGGCCTCCGACACAACATCGTTTTCTTCTCGCTCAGGTAACGGTTGGTCAGCCGCTCTATTACCTCCAGCATCATTCTGCGCTGCATGCAGTGGAATGATCCCAGGCTTTCAAATCTCAACAAATCACCGTTTAGTGCTCGAATTGATACAGGTTTAGCTTTTCCAGACCCTTCAACATCTTCAGTTGCTGCGTAATCGTTTTGTGCTAAGATGTTAGAGGCTGTGATCGCACTAAGTAAAGGCCTCCACAAATAGCGTAGTTAGGGTTTAGTTGTAATTATTCTAATCTACCTATCTCCTAGCTCCTTAATTCCTGCAAATTCCCCTTTTACGTGTCCTCTGGGTGATAGTTTATCCGTCTGTAGCCCTCCCGCTGGTGGCCCCCTAGGTCTCCCCCCCTAGGAACCCTAAGATAATAGTATTTACTATTAAATATTGTCCCCTTTGTAGCCCAGTTATGCCTTAGTGAGTGACAGCTAAACAGAATCTGCGGCACCTTGCTTTGAACTCAGCAGTTCTCATCCTAGGGGCCACTCTGTCTTTACAGTTCCTGTAGCATCGTTGGTAGTCCTCTGGGTCGCGTTGCACCAAATGAGAGGCATCTGGCTCTGTTGGAGGAACAGTAGCACTAACAGCAGTGCTAATAAAGAGGAGAGTAATGAATGATTTAGGGTTCATTGTGTTGGTTAGATGAAGGTACGTTAAATAGAGAAGTAGACCTAATGAAGAGCTTAAGTTGATATAAATATTTAACTTGTTTAAGGAAAAGGTTGGCACAGTTAAGTAGGTGATGGATTTGATGACTATCTAGAAGCTAGAACTACGGCTGGCAACAGCCAGTCTTATAGACTAGTGACAGGTGGGGGCTCAGCAGGATATCAGCCTGACCAATGGATCCACCGGCAAGGCCGTGGATCTAAAGGTCTACCGCATTGTCCTATATATTAAAGAGAAGGAGTAAATAAGAAAAAGAAAAATAAAGAACATGTAGAAAAAACCTATATAGAGAATAAAAAGTAAATTATACAGTTTTTAATAGTTATAATGTACATATATAGTAAGTAGACTATTATAGCCTATCATAGTCTACTTACTATATATGTCACAGGACAATAGGCGGCCGGCCTTCGGATCCACTTTCTCGGCCTTGCCGGTGGATCCATCGGTCGGGCCGATATGCTGCCGACAGCTGGTGCCCCACTGGGCCCCACCTGTCGCCAGTCTATAAGAACAGCTATTGCCAGCTGTAGCTCTAGCTCTTAGTTAGTTATCAAAATCTATCACCAATTTAACCGTGTCAATATATATACGTTATAGCTACTAAAAGCTATTTTTAGTAAAAAAATAAACCTTAACAAAATTACTAGTATAACTCTATAAAGAGTTAGTTAACTAATATATCTTAGTATATATATAGTAAGTAGGACACTTCTTATTATATAGAAAACACTTCTTTTTTAACTATTTATTAAAGGGAGTTAATATATAGGCATAAGGAATTAATATATAGGCATAAGCCTTACATAGGCATCAGGGTTCTATCCCTCTGATTAGTCTAAAAAATAGTACATCCCTATAAAGGCAGTAAGTGTAAGGATATCGCCGATGGGTCAGCGATAGGGCGCCTTATAAGGTCATGTGTGGTGCAGTTCTGGCACGTAGTGCCAGAACTGGCGGATCTTTTGGCAGTTGCCAGAATGGTCTATTGTCGGGCGTTGGCACACCACCCAATCCCATTACAGTAAGAGTAATTGCACTAACACAAGGGCCCTCTTCACGGCCGTGAAAAGAACCCCCTATGGGCTGCCTTAATGGGCTATGATGGGCTGCCTTAATAGGCTACCTCCTGTGGGTCTAGCAGAATTTAGTTACACTAACATCTTTTTTTTTAGACCAATCAGATGGATAGAACCCTTATGCCCATGTAAGGCTTATGCCTATGTATTAATTCCTTATACCTATATATTAACTCCCTTATTTTAATACTATAAAAAGGTAAATAATAAGAGATTTATATTATCTAAGGACCTAAATAGTATAATCATGAAATTAATCTTTTGTCCTATATTAAACTCTCCTTAACCCTAACCCTGTATTATTTTCTCTTAGGGTATAGACGTTATTGGCCTAATATTGGTTTTACTGATTAGGCCCTTAATTATTTGCAACGGTTTGTGTCGGGATACAGAGGAACAGTGGATCTAGATAGGTCACGTGACTCTCCAGATCAATCCCATTATAACCCATTCAACTAAGCCTCACCCACCTACCTTAAGCAACAATAATAACAACTATTATTATCCTCACTTTTGTACACAACCACTAAAGCAGGGTTATCCTATAAACCTAACCTCTATAAATAATAACCAACAGTTTAGTTTTAGTAAAGGGTACTCTAGGCTAGTATAAAAGACATCTTTTGTACTTTAATAACTAGGTAATGCTATGTTTCCTACGCTATAAGATATATATTTACGCCCTACTAAATTCTTTTACAAATAAGCGTGCTTAGTCTGTTTCTCAGCGCTTGGAATGACTCTGTCCGAACCAATGGACCGGAGCTCATCCTTTTGCAAAAGATCAAGGCGGTTTTCAGCATTCATCCTCTTGGTTGTGATCCTGTCCGGGTAGTTTCTTAGAAACATATTCGTGAAGTGTGTGCCGTAATGAATACCCTCCCTTGGAGACTGCCCAGCATCGTAGCCTGGTAAAGGCTTGGCAACGGCCTGGAAGCTGGGCTCGTGGAAGTAAGCAAACGCGAACCGGTCGCGGGTGTTCAGGCCGACCTTGTGAGGAGTGGAGGGCAAGTAGGAGTTGGTGATGTATTGCATGATGTCGCCGGGGAAGACGGTGAAAACGTTCGGAACGGGAGGCACGTAGTGCCAGCCCTCATCCTCCTCCTTCAAGCCGGCCGAGCTCTTCTCCCAGTTGGCAAATTTCTCGCCATCATAGGGAGGGCGAATAAAAAGACCTATCCACTGATATTAGGCAATGTGTTATCGGGAGATGAATCTGGACCTACCGCCAACATCGTCCTGGGCAGCAATGACCAACAATCCGTAGTCGGTATGTGAGCCAATGCCACGGCCCTCTTTGCCTTTGCCGTTGGTGTTGTGGGTAGGGGGAAACCTGCTCCTGTGTTACTATGGACTCTTGGAACATAATAAGCCGCAGTGCGAGACACCACTCACCTGAGAATGCGCATGTGGTGCCACCCATCATCAGTAAGGTTTGTGAGAGAGCCGAAAGGAACATTGAGACCCAATTCTGTGAGCTGGAGCAACTTTTCTCCACTCTCACCGAGATAGTCCATATAAGTAGTCATAGGCTGTTTCATATCATAGTCGGGCCAGGGAACAGGACCATGGCATGGCCACTTCGCACGAACACGGGGCTCGGCGAGGTCCAAATCTTTGGTTACGGTAAATATTTCCGAGTAGTCCGCAATGCCGTCGGTGATCTCTTCACCAGAAGCGATGTAGCCAGAGTAGCTTTGGGAGTCCACGCACGCAGCCTTTTCTTCGTGAGGCTTGGCGAAGAATTTCTTGCTGGCTTCTGTTGCTTTGTCGAAAATGATTCGCTGCTTGTCATTCATCGAGACCTGGAGGATGCCATCACGACGCCAGGCCTCGACAAGAGCCTTGCCCATAGCGATATCACCTTTGCTACCAGTGACCCTGTCTGGTAGTGTGAAGGTCTCAAGCTGAGCAACCGTGGCTTTGTGGCCGGGGGGCATTGTGGCGGCTAATTTGGCGACATTGTGGTCCGTGACCGATGCCAGAGTACGAGCCTGGTTCAAACATGGTTTCCTTGCCCCCGGACGGGCTAACCTGCTCAACCCTTTTGTAATAGATAACATATTCGTTATATTGAATTCTTTAAGACAGCGTGCCGTGGCTTGTGTTTGGGATCCTGAGGAAAGGCAAAAGCAAAGAGAATGTAGAGTGTGGTGTTGTCGAGCTTGATGATCCAGCCCTTCTTCTTGTGGGCTACCCACTTCTTATAACCGCCGTACAGACACCTAAAAACAACCATCGGTAATCCATTAACTTTTTTATAGTCAACTTTAGAATACCTCAAACGATAAGCCATGTCATGAGATCCTAGACCCGTCAGCTCTAGCATTTTCGCTGTCAATGTGATGCCGAACCTTGAGTCGTCGAGTCACAAAACAGCAACCCGGCCTTCCCGAGACGAAACGTACCGTAGCTTCTATACTACTCTTCAAAAGATTTACCAGATGAATCCAAGGAACACCTTGCGCGAGATATCATGCCAGGCCCGTAGGCTATGATTTTAGTCTACACTTCGCCGGGGTGTTAGATGATAGCTTTTTACAATTTCCATATGCAAACACTGTGTTCCTACTAAAAGTCTTAGTAAAAGGAAATACTTTTACATCTCAATAAACTTGATTTAGACATATACCTGAGAAGTAACTCCAGAGATATCCATCCTCTAGAGTCTCAAGGGTAGTAATCGTTTTACATGTATTTTTTGGGCTGATATACCAGACTAACTTTTGGAGCTCCAATGGAGGTGTACAAACATGAACAAAATATTGAATCATAGTCAAAGTCCTGCTCCATTGAATTCGCCTCAAATTCACGGACACGTCCGCTATAGCTGGTTTCTTGACACTACTCGCCCCTGTCTATCCTCCAGGTACATTCTGACTGGCAATACCACATAGTGAAACCATTTCGAAGAGGAATGATACAGAGGTTTGACCATTAATTACTGGACTGTCAATGCGTTTGTTACTAGGTCCGCCCAGTTTTTGTAGCAATGTAGCGTGGGATGAAGGAGTTGGAGAACTCTGTGCTCTTGGACCCCTGTCTGTATGGTTGTGTTGTGAAACGTAATTGAGCAGAGTCGTCAGAGGTTGCATTTAGATGCTTCTCCATCTCATAAGATTGCGATTGCGATTGCGAAGAACCCTGCTAAAGAAATCATGACGCATGTAAAACGGGTCCCTGGTCAAAAATCCTACAAAAATCCAAAGTATCTACACTACCTATGATTGGTGAGATGTAATACCCAACTAGGTTTCTACTGCAAAAGAGTGTCAGATCTGGCTTTCTAGGCCGGATAGATCTGGCTTTCTAGGTCGGATCTGGGAGGTGTGTCACGGTATATAAGCCATTGTTACTGCCCACGTAACTAACAATATCGTTTTGTTACAGGACAAATACAATCGATTCAGAAGCTTGCGTTGGATAGTCAAAAATAGGACGAGACCATATTGCTCTGACATTGCTGCAATGCCGGGTATCCCTGCAACTACCGGCGCTATCGGGATCGTCTCCGATAACCCGCCGCCACTATCCACAGTGAAGTGACGGTTGTTACTCTGTCTTTCAACGAGGCAGCCCACGATAGTTGCTTCCTCTTCTCCTTCCCCCATGATTGAACAAGCACCCCTGTTGTTCGTCACCCATATTCAGCCCGGGCTACCACCTGTCATAATAACTGATATCTTGTGCCTTAGCTTTAAGAAGTTTGTAAGCGACCTGTAAAAGGGCCTTTTTGATGTATTGAATGCTGAGTAGCTTACTGATGCGGCGGCGGTAATAAGGAAAAACAACCCTGTTCTTGGTCGACTGAGTGTCTCTGCCGGGCCCCTGGCAGAAATTCTCTGAGGATCGGTGTGAGATATGAAACCAGAGAAATTCTGACCAGATCGAAAAGGTCAAAAACAAGTGTGAAATTGAGGTCTAATAGGGTGTGTATTTTCTAAGTTCCAAGGCTGCAGGGGAGGGCGTGCAAAGCCCCCCTTTTGTCCCCTTGGGGACCCACTCCTGGGTCCTGATGCTTTAGGCCCCCAGACAACCAGGTGCTCAAAAAGACGCTGTCTTGGCCGTAAATAAACCTTTACTTCACTTCTCCCCCACCAATCATGGCAGCAGATAGATTGCCGGTGTGTTTGTGGTATCTTGCCTGCCGGTGTGTTTATGGCATCTTGCCTGCAGCTAACCAGATCCAGTGAGGCGTCGGGCACAGACCAGAAGTCTAATTACTATGGAGCATTCTGCTGGTTACTGTACTTGATAGCTCGGAAGAATAGTAACCAAACGTGCACTGGCAATTTACCCGCCATCACCATTTTTACACCTTCACCCCTACACTGATTATTTGACATGGCATCAGCAGCGATACGATTTGTCGCAGGCACTAAACAATGCACCTTGGGAACTCTGTATCTTAAATGTCGTGTAAAGCCCGGCGCATCGCGAGTGCGTGAGGGGATCGTGGCTGTGACGGATGGAGGGGTGGAGTTGTGCGTTGCTGCGCAGGCGCGAGAAGGCGAGGCAAACAAAGCCGTAATCAAACTGCTAAGCGAGGTAAAGTTTTTCTGACATCTATGCCGCTCTTGACTACCTACTTCGGATACCAAACGCACTGTGCTCGATCGGCGCTGAACTAGTTGCAGATCTTGGGACTTCCAAAGTCTGATTTGACCATCTCTCAGGGGTTGAAGTCCAGAGACAAGACCGTGGCTGTTACATGCAGCAATGTCATGGATCCGGCTGCACTTCTCACAAAGATTATGAAACAGTTGGAGGAGGCTGTGAAGGGCGGATAGCAATCTAATATCTGTTGCATGGCTGATTCCTCAGCATCAAGGATAAGCTACCCGGCGACGCCGCCTTCCTAAGTGACGTCACGACGTCACGCACGAAGCACCTACTTAAGCTTTGTGTCGTAGACCAGTTCACTATGTACAAGCCAAACACTTCTGACTAGATGAAGTGCCACCTGAGTGGCCCTGCTTTGTGATAACATAGACTAAACATAGCAATAAAGCTTGATAGAGTACGCAATAGAGGGAGCCAAATCGTTCGAAACTTTTAGAACATTTGGAAAGTCTATAGTCTAAGCCGCCATAGGTGTTTCATTCTATCTCCCCAACCAGAAGCAACGTGTCATAATGCATCTTACGTTTTCCAATGATTCGTCTATACACTAGGCATTTGCTCCACGGAAGAGGGTGGTTAATGTGACGTACCTGTACATTTTTCCACCAGTAGAGTTCCAGGGCGCAAGCGCAACAAATAAACTTACGAACAAGATTCCGTTCAACTGCCAGAAACTCTCTGATTTGGCTTTCATCTGAACGGTGACGCTTCTTATGACCATGCGTTCATCCCTCTGATGGAAAGGATACGCTGTCGTTGCAGTTTTAACAGAATCTACTGTTTAGGAACATGACACGTAATGACCAATGTAACAAACAGGAGCAACCTGAGTCGCACATGATGAGCAACGACTCAATATTGGACGCGGAGCTTGGCCCTGGGCTGTCGAAGATACAAAGGTCTGCTGAGTTATTATCTGGTTGCGCTGAACCCGGGGGTGCTCGGTTTGAATCAAAAACAAAACCCCTCACGGCTCATCCAGCCAGTTTCGCAACTCTAACTTCTATTTATTTTTCAACCCATGGGTGCACGGACCCCCCTGTTAGAGAAACGTATAGGAGGCGCCCTGTACCCCTAACAGGGCGCACATTTCCGAGAAATCCCTCAACACATCTGTCCTTAACACTACCACTTCAGGACCCTTTTCCCTTTGATCACAACACATCATCAATCAGATGCATCCTACATCAAGCGATTTATAAAAGCTACTTCTAGGGCCTGATCGGCAACGGTGGGAATGTTGGATAACGCGCCAACTTGGATAACGTGAGGGGAAATATTAGTCAGAAACCGAATAAATGCAGCGCTAGGCCAAAAAAGGCCCCTTTTTCATCAGCAGAGTTCGCCCATGAGAAACCTTGCTATTTTAACACGTACCTTAATAAAAATAACTTTTCTGCTGCCCAAAAGAGGGGAAATATCAGATAACTGCCCTGCCGCTACATATTTTGTTATAAGGTCCTCACGAGGTGCTTATAAGCTATCTAACACTTGGGTATAATAATGACTAAGCAAGGGTTAGGGTTATATATTATAAAAGTGTAATAAAAATTCGTTTTATTAACTTTTTAAAATCAGGGTTAGGGTTACAGGGATAGTATGGTACATCCTGCCGAGTTAAGTAAGGTTTAACTTAATGCGCTTACATAAGCAGTAGGTACTCCTTATTCGAGGTACGGGCTGTTATCCAACTTCGCCGCCGTTGGCGATCAGAGCCCTAGAGAGTTTAGGCTAATGCAATAAATATACACTTTATGTAGCCCTATGCAGCTATAACTAGCTGCCCTAGGTTTTTCTCCCTCTGTGGTTTTCCCTAGGATAGCCCCTGAATAGGCAGAAACTAAAGTAATTAGTATTAGATACTTGTTAGTACTGGTTAGGAAGGGGTAAGGGAATCTGGCCGGGTGGAGGGTATCTTGGAATAATAGGCAGGAACAAAAGGCCTAAGGCGGGCTGGTGGTTTATTAGGAAGGGATATCTAGAAGGAAGGAATAGACTGATTGAGCCTGTGGGCACTTTAACGGTATAGACGGTATCACTAGTTTGAAATTTCCTAGGCACGGTGGGCTTATGTAAGCTAGCTACCCTAGGCGTCCTTTGTCCTTTTCAGGAACGCCACAGACGTTAAATACAACAACAACAACAACAACAACAACAACAACAACAACAACAACAACAACAATCCAGCCAGTTTCGAATGAATTGGTATCTTTTCTCTTCCCATTGGCTACGTAACATCTTTGCATGAAGATATGGCGAGAAGATATGCATTGCAACAGTGACGGTGCAACATATTGTCAGCTGAACTGACAGATCATCATCCTCAGCGGCGTTCCACGAAAGAGTATAAGCAGCCAAAGCCCTTTCCTTATGTGTTGAGGAATGAGGCGCAGACTGCCCAGAGCGAATGGAAAGATCGTCTTGTTATCGGTCCGAAGCAGTTGCCAGCCCCGCCAGAATTCACATGCTTGTGCGGTTGCCGAATCACATACTCAGCGTCGTGTCACTCATTACCTTTCGACCTATTAAGCGACCTTAGTATGCACGACCCCTCTCTCCCCGGTCAAAAAACCCCGCGATACCGTTGTAATACAACAGGCTGGGCATTCGAATCAAAAGGCTCTTGATGATAAACTGGTGAGGCTGTGGCAACGAACGGCCGGCAGCTGATCTGGCATGCCACAGCCGGTCCCAATCCTCCTGTAGTCATTCCAGGCAATCCGTCTACAGAACTCGAGATAACCATTTAAATGCTAGCTGTTTCCAAACCTAAGTTTCCATTTGATCCCTCAAGTTTCTGCAATTGACAAAACACCGTACGGCGCTTGCGCTACTCTCACGACATGTCCGAGACAGTAGGATCATTGCATTTTCCCCACAACGAGACGTCGCCCAATCGGCGTCCTATGTTGGCAAGCGATATATCGCAAAAGATGGAGGTCGTGCTCTTGGTTCCTATCGTCGGCTGTTTCCTCTGGTTCCTCGCTTCCTGGCAGGCCTCTCCGTTAAAGAAATTTCCGGGGCCAGTCCTAGCAGGTGAGATTTGTGCCGCCCATTCCACGAGCTTTCCCTCTTCCCATATGTACAACTCGGTGGAGATGCTATGATGTTATTCCGACTCCTGACGCACGTTAGGATGGACAAACTTGTGGCGCTTGTGGCAAGTCATTTCCGCCGATTACGCTCCGCGGGTCAAAAGACTTCACGAGAAGCACGGCCCAGTCGTGCGTATTGGACCTAACCTGCTGGACATTGACTATCCGGAGCTGGCCAAAGTCATCTATGGCACCGACAGCAAATGGAAAAAGGTGGGTTGCTTGCATATCGAAGGAGGGGACAATGACTGCCTATCACCGGCCCCCCTGCTGACGCCACACGGCTCTTCCAGTCCGACTTTTACAAGAACAGTAGCACCATCATCGATGGCAAGATCAAGTACCATGTATTTAGCGAGACCAACAACGCCGAGCACGCCCGGCTCAAAAGACCCGTCGTGCGCCACTACTCAGTGTCTAGTGTGCTGGCCATGGAGCCGCTCATGGACAAGAGCATTGCCGAGCTCTGCGACCACCTCGAGCGTCGCTTCGTCGACACTGGCGAGCCCTGCGTGTTTGGGGACTGGCTGTCTTACTGTGCGTCGCCGGGCTGCAGGGTTCTGGGAAACGTGTTCGTTCGCTGATCAAATGACCGCGCAGACGCATGGGACGTCGTGGGCTTCGTCACCTTCGGCAGGAAGTTCGGCTACATGGACAAGGGCTGGGACTTTGACGGCACCTTAGCCATCGGGGACCAGACGATCGACTACTTCAGCATGTGCGGACAGATGCCATGGATGGATTACTTGCTGGACAAGAACCCTGTCTACCACCTCGGGCCACCCAATCTCTCCAACGTCACCCGCATCGCGGTTGAGAGCCTCACGGCGCGGCTGAAGGGCGAAGACGGTTTCAACCCCGGGAAGCCAGACTTTCTGCAGTACTTTGTCAACTCCAAGGAGACACATCCGGAAATCGTCGACAAAGGCACTATTATTGGATATCTACTTCTCAACTGTAAGTCCTTCTTGGAATTCCCAGGCTCAGTGGCGGCGAGCAGGGTAAACAGCAGTTTGACACGGGTACAGTGCTAGCCGGGGCCGATACGACCGCCACCACCATGCGCGCGCTCTTCTACCACTGCCTCAAGAACCCCCGCATCTGGGAGCGACTGGAGTCCGAGATCGTCGCCAACATCCCCGGCGACGAGCCGGCGCCGCACACGACTGCTCGCGCGCTTCCCTACCTCGAAGCCGTCTGCCGCGAAACATTACGGTACCACCCGGCCGTCGCCATGACGATGGAGCGCGTCGTCCCCGAGGGCGGCCTCGCCCTCCCGGATGGATCGGTGGTCCCGGGTGGTTCCCTTGTCGGCATGAACCCCTACATCGTGGGGCGCAACAAGAGCGTCTACGGGGAGGACGCGGACGAATTCCGCCCGGAGCGGTGGTTGCGGCAGGATTCCGAAGATGGCGAGGCTTACAAGTTTCGCATGCGGCAGTGGAACGCGGCCGATATTGTCTTTGGCGGCGGCTCGCGCATCTGTCTTGGGCGGAACCTGGGTATGCTGGAACTCCACAAGATCGTGCCGTCCCTGATCTCGAGATTTGAGATCCAGCTGGTGGACCCTGAAGAGAAATTGTGGACGAGCTCGCGATGGTTCTATCGGACAAAGGGCATCACTTGCCGCTTGAGCCGAAGGACGCATAAGGTCTGAGGAGCTCGCGAGCCATGGTCACCAGACAGGATGAGCCAGACCTAGATATCCCAGCAGGTTCTTATATCGATGTCCCCTCGTATAAAAAACAGACGCTCTTTGGAATGAATACCACTTGACTATGACGAGCTCTATGTTACTGCGCTGGAATCCACGCTATACCACCAGACAGCCATCAGCGCGAAATGATGTAATACGTGCCATTGGCGCACTCGAATCCCAAGTTGGGGTTCAGATCGGGAGCCGCATTCATGCAGATGACTTTTGGCACTGTCCTACTCTGCGGATCAATCCTGATGTTCCTCGTCTGGAAGCCCCTGCAAGACTTCCCATCACTGCATCCAATGACGACGGCTTCCGTGTGTGTAAGATTCACGAGACCCGAATTGTACCAGTAAGGCTATTTATTGGCCACCGTTATTGGCATCAGCATTTCCCCCCTTTCCGTATGAAAGAAGAGCGTAAATGGACAAGACTTACGTTAGTGGTGCAGGATCCATCGCCGGGGTTGTAGGTGTTGATGTTGCCCGAGAAGTGCTCCCAGGTGAAATCCTCCATCATGACGGACGAGCTGCTCGACCTGCTACAGCCCGGGCTTGCCTGGTTGTAGTAGGTTTGTGTAACGAATATGGGGAAGGTGACGTTGTCGACGCGGATGTTGCTCCACGTAATGTTCCTCGCCAGTCCCTACACCACGGATCAACAACCGCGCAGGTCGGTAGGACGGGGGCATGGTCCATTACCTTTCCTCTGATCCAGCTCTTGAAACGGGCGGCGTACAAGCCGCCCTGGACGGTGACGTCTTCGAAGCGGATATTCTGCACGTCGGCCGAGGCCGAGGCGTCGGAGCCCAGCGAGCCGACGCTCATGCCGTGCGTCTGGAAGCCGATGGTCGCCTGCTTGAACAGCACATTCCTTGCGCCGTCGCCGTTGAGGATCCTGCTGTTCGTGATGGTGACGTCGGTCGCGCCGACGCCGAACCCGTCCGTGTTGAAGGGGAAGCCGCCGCCCTCCTCGGACCGGGCGTCGACAACGGCGTCCGAGATGGAGATGTTGCTGCCCTCGATCGAGAAGCTCCAGCCGATGGGCTTCATGGACTTGGCGTTCCGCATCACGCCGTTGGTGATGTTGAACTGCATCAGGTGCGGGCTGTTGGGCGTGCCGGCCTCGCCGGGCCTGTTGAGGTCCCACCACGCCTGGCCGTACGACTTGATCCAGCCGGCGTCGGGCTGTTTTTGTGCGAAAGACCGCATGAGCGCGCGCTCGTTCTCCCTCCCACTATCCGCCGCCGAGGTGTCAAACGCGGGAGAGGAAGGGGAGAGGGTGGGGGGCGATCAAGGACGGGGACGTACCTCGGACGAGCCGATCCACTGCACATTGGTGCCGCCCAGCCGGAACCACGTGAGACGGCCGCCCTTGACCTCGACGAGTTTCTGCAGGGCGGGGATGTCGCGCGGCAGGCTCAGGTTGCCGTCGACGGTGATGACGACGTTGCTCAGCTTGGTGGCGACAACGGGCTCGTACGCCCTGTACTCGGCGCCGGCGGGGAAGATGATCTCGGCGTCGCTGGCGCACCTTGCGAAGGCGTCGGCGATGGCGGCCGCGTCCGACGTGGTCTCGCGGGACGCGGCGACGATGCATCTCCGGGGGAGGCACGCGGCCGCGCAGGCCGCGATGCAGAAGAACACCAGGGGCAGCAGGCTGAGGTGGTGCATCGTGTTCGTCGGGGCGAGAGCGAGACGATCTGACGCTGTACGGAAGGAGAGAACGGCCGGCGGGCGCCTCACGGAAGAAAGAGGCAAGGGGTATGAAAGGAGCTAGAACGAGCTGCCGGTGCCAAGACAGGGGTTATAGATGCCCAAGGACCTCGCTCTTGTCATGACACATCCTAGGAGAGCGTAAGGATGGCATCGGGTTCATCTCCGAGGGAAGGTTCTTATCGAACCACGCAAGTCGGCCGGGGAGGATTCCTGGCTGTCCGGGGTGGTGTAGATGAGGCCAGCATCGCATCAGAAGCGAGTATGGAGAGGTGGTCAAGCCAGGCCTAGGAGAGGCTCGATGATGGGGAATCAGAAACAAGTCGATTTGTCGGACGGGAGCTTAGGTAGGGGTTGGATGGGGGAAGGGTTCCCCGTCCGATCTATACTTTCCCGCAGCACGGACATCTATCGCGCCACGATGACTACGACCCCTCCGTGCCGGCTTCTTGTTGGGTCTGGACACGCCTTGGCCAGGACCAGGGCCCGACGGCCGGAGAGCCAGCTTACCCTGCGGCTTACATCACCTTGGAAGACTTCGTCTAAGCCAGAGCGTGCCAAACCGATGGAGGGGCAGCAACGGGCACACGCAGCCCATTCGCCTAGTCGCGTGCAACCGCTACGTAGACCGGCGGCCCCTTTCTACACGAGAAGACGAAGATGCGTCGCCGGGCAAGCGATTCAAGCAGAACCACATTGTCCAAACAAAAAGCAAGCCAAGGGTCATCCCGTGCCCTTGGGGGTCTGATGATTTCGCTTGTGTCAATGAGCTTCTCCAATGTCGCCCCCCCGCTTGGCGACGACGGAAACAAACCAACAGGGAAAAAACCCAATACAATATACAAATATGAAATTAGGATAAACCGTGCGTAATAAGCGGCGGGCGAGCTGGGACTGCGGATCAAGCTTGAATGGTCAGGGGTAAGATATTCGATTGGATCTCGATGGCGGGTATCATACGAAATAGCGCTCCATTCACTCCTTGTCCTCCTTCGCCGTCTCCCTGGGCGGCTGCCTCGGCTGCGGGCCCTTCTGCTGCTCCAGCTTCCTCCTCTCCCAGGGCTTCAGCTTCGTCTCCTCGGCCGGGCCGTCCACCTCCTTGGCCCACTTGACCCAGTCCGACCGCCTCGTCTTCCACATGTCCCCCTTCCACGTCCGCCACACGCTGCGCCCCATCCACGAGTCGCGCAGCGCCCGCTCGTGACCGGCGAGCGAGGCGATGATGGTCTGTTTGACGTGGAACGGCACGGAGCGGTCCGTGCCGCGCGAGGGGACCTCGACGATGGCGTTGACGACGTTGTGGCCGAACTGGGACTGCGCCAGCTCCGCGGCGTGCGGGGCGAGAGCGCCGACGAGGGCCTTGTGGAAGAACTCGTTCTGCGGCGCCGCGGGGCTGGCGAGGGCCGTCGTCAGAACGGTCGTCGACGCCATCGCCGTGGTCGCGAGCTTGACCAGGAGGTCGGGCGGCAGCGCGACGAGGGACTTCTGGGCCACCTTGGAGGCGTTGCCAGAGGTCTTCAGCATGGTTGAAACGAGGTGGCAGCCGTGGGCGGCGACGGCGGTCTTGTTCTGGGGCGACTGCTGGAACTGGTCCTTATCAGCGGACTCGTCCTCGACCAGGTGGCACAGTTTCAGGACCAGGTCCTTCGGGTTGGAGCCCAGTGCGTCGGTCAGCGCCCTCGTGAGGGCGCTCTTCTCCTCGTAGGCGCCGCGCGCCTCGCACCGCTCGAACAGGGTCTTGAGGACGTTATACCGCGCCTTGGACACCAGGAGGGGTACGGCGGGGATGATCTTCTTGACAGCCTCTACGAGGTCGTCCTTACTGAAGCGGTTCAGGACGCGGAGGGCGGGGTACGAGGCGATGTCGTTGCGGACGTACGTCGCGATGCGGTCGCCGAAGAAGTTGTGGGAGAGTGCTTTGAAGATCTTGCCGGGACAGTTGCTTATGAGGGTCTCCAGGAGGCGGGACCCGATCTGGTCGTAGACCATGCTGTTAACAAAGTCCGCCGCCTGCGAGGTTTCGTCGGCGAGGGACGCGGGGGCGTCGGGCAGCAGTCTGTACAGCAGGGTGTCCTTGCTCGCCGCCGCCGAACTTTTGTCGCTCTTGTGGTTCAGGGAGATGTCGAGCTCCAGCAAGAGCTGGAGGAGAGGGTTGCCGGTAGGATGTTTGGCCAGGACGCGCAGGGCGGTGAAGTCCATGCCGGCCACAGCGTCCTGGATGATCTTCTTTGTGGCCAGGGTGAAGGACTCGGGGACGGCTCTCAGCTGGTGGGTGAGCTCGTCCGAGGCACCGGTGGCCCCCTGGACGGAGATGTACTCCTTCTTCTTGCTCTTCAGCAGCGACTTTGTGGACGAGTCGTCCAGCGGGCGGCCCGACAGAACAACCAAGAGCACACGTAGAGTGTGTGATCCGAAACGGTCTGTGAGGAGGAAGCCCATGTGCTGCTCAAACTCGTCCAGCGTCATGAGAAAGAGGTTTTCCATGGTGTTGTCCGGCTCGGCGTCCTCCTCGACCTCCATCTCGTCAAGGTTGCCCTCGGTCTCCGGCACGATCCCGCCCAGCTCCTGCGTCACGATGGGCGCCGATTCGAGGAACAGTTTCTCGCAGCAGTGGCTGGCGAAGCGGTGCTGGACGAGCGACAGGAAGTGGCCGGCAAAGGCGTTGAAGATCTGCTTCTTCTGCCTCGTGTTTGAGAGAAGAATCAGGCGCTCCATCAGGCGCGACAACGATTGGCTGCTGGCCAGCTTCAGCTCCTTGCCCCGAGCCTCCTTGTAGACGTTTTGCAAAAAGACGTGGCGCTCCTCGGGGGAGGGGAATTGGTTCAGCTCGAGCAGCTCGTCGGCGCGGCGGAAGTATTCCTGCTCCTCGTCCGCGAGCATGCCAAAGAATTCCTTCTCAGGGCCGTTGCCGCGGAACGACTGCGGGTGGTCGCCCGCATCGTTGAACGCATGCTGCTGAATGTCCTCGTCCTCATCCCGGTCTTCGCCATCGACCCGTCTCCGCTTGGACTGGTGTTCGTCGTGGTTCTCCTCGTGGCTTTCCCCATGCGTCTCCCTCCTCTTCTTCTTCCGCTCGTCGCGAATGGCTTGTCGTTTCGTTCTTGGCTTCGGCATCGTGACTGGAGGTTGAATTGGTGCAGGGTGCAACTTTGAGTTGTGGAGGAACGGTACGGCAGTGGACTCGTCGCAGTGAAGACGACTCTGAACACTGGAACTGAAAAAAAAGAAAAAAAGAAAAAACCTTTTGCTTATCTTATCATTTATCTTATCACCATTCTGCCCCACTGTCCAACGAGTGATCAGACAAGCTGATATTGTCCCCCCCCCTGTCAACCCGAGAGTACCGTGCACAATAACAGCGATAAACCTCATATCCTAAAGGCTTCAGGTTCAAATCCAGTTTTCTTAGATTTTTAGGTTCTAGAACGGCTCCACCAAGAAGGGTCGGAATAGTACAATGTACTAACCTACCCTGTTTCCTATGCTGCGCTCTGGGTTGGGACCCTTTTGCCTCTATTTTTTTACTAAGATAGTTGTGTTATCACTAAATCCACTGTCTGCTGAGGTTTATTGTGCACGGTACTCTCGGGTTGACAGGGGGGGGGGGCATTGTCAGCTTGTGTGTACGGATATACTCGTCCAAACTCCTGTCCACCCGCTAAGTAGACAGGCCCCTCCCCTGTTTGATGGAGTCTCTCTCCCCTTCTTATTGCACCAGCTGACTTTGAAAGAGAGAGAGAGAGAGAGCATATTCACCTGCTGGTCCGTTCGGTATCAAACTTTCTACATCGTTATATGCGATTTCTTGCCCTAATTTTACGGGATCACTTCTCAATTGAACTGGCAGATGATGCAAAAAAAAAAAAAAAAAAAAAAAAAAAGGCATAGCTTAGGAGATATTCGTGTGTAAATGTTCTCGGCTCAGTGTGGTCATACTCAAGCTGATGGCTCTCGGTATGTGTCTATCAGGTCATATATGTGCGTGTCTAATATCCGTGGCTCTCGTCATCTATTTCATCTGAAAGCATTCCACGACCGGCCAAAATTTCTACTCTGCGACCTCCTTACCGACCTCTTCCAGGGCCTTGAACAGCCCATCGACTGTTCCCTTGAGGGTCTGGCAGTTGACTACGACGCGGAAGAAGCTGCCCCGCTCGCCGGGGGCGTAGTCAATCATGAAGCCACGGCCGATGAGCTTCGCCACCATCTGGCTGGTACGCTTGGTGTTCGTCTCGGCGTCCTCGGCGAGCTGGCCACCTGGTGCGTAGTAGAAGCAGACCTGCAGGCAGGGCGGCGGGTTCGACGAGACGAGGACAAAGTTGGCGCTTCGCTCGACCAGCGTCGCGAGGTGCTCGGCCAGGGAGAAGGCGTGGTCGATCTGCCGCTCGAACCCGCCGGCGCCGTAGTAGATCCAGGCCAGGGCCAGCTTAAGGCTGTCGGCCCTGCGGCCGCACTGGAGGGTCAGGTCGGCCAGGTCCCACACGTCGTCGGTCTCGTCCACGTTGTGGAACAGGTAGCCCGCCGGCAGGGTGTTGGCCTTGTGGAACACCCTCTCGTCGGGCGTGAGGAGGAACGAGCACGTCACCGGCACGTTCATCATCTTGTGCGGGTTGACCGTCAGCGAGTCGGCCAGGTGCGAGCCCCTCAGCTTCGACCTCTGCGCCGCCGAGAAGACGGCCGAGCCTCCCCAGCTCGCGTCGATGTGGAACCACAGGTTGAACTCCTTGCAGATGGCCGCGATCTCCTCGAACGGGTCGTACGAGCCCATGACCGTCGTCCCGGCCGTCGAGTTGACGTACAGCGGCGTCTTGCCCTCCGCCTTGGCGCGGACGACCAGCTCGCGGAGGGCCTCGGGAATCATGCGCCCGGCGGAGTCGATCGGAACCGCCCAGACGCTCGACGCGCCGAGCCCGCAGGCCAGGGCGCTCTTCTCGACCGAGTAGTGGCCGTGCACGCTGGTGAAGACAACAAAGTCGTGCAAGCCGTTCCCCAAGGCCTTTGTCTCCGGGTAGAGGGCGCTGCGGGCGACGACGAGGGACGTCAGATTGGACGAGCTTCCGCCCTGGCAGGTGACGCCGCCGGCCCGGGGCCCGTCGAAGCCGAACAGGTTCGCAAACTTTCGAGCCGTGACCTTCTCGATGATGCTGAGCGCAGGCGAGACTTGATAGACGTGGCTCTATCGCGGGTTCAGTCAGTATAATGGCCCTGACGAGATGGAGATGAAGAGACAACTTACATTGGTGTTCAGAACAGAGAGGACGAGATCGGAGACAACGCCAACCTATGCAGCAGATCAGCTCAGCTCTCGGCAGGTTTAGATGGTGCCGACATACCGGAGTGTTGCTTGCGTACAGCTTGTCCATGAAGCCCTGGTCCCAGGTGTTCACACTGTAGCTCAGGATCTTCTGCACGATGTCGAGCAGGCCGTCCTTCCCGAGGCCGTCGCCCTCGGGGAGGGAGAACTTGAGCTTCTCGGCCAGCGCAGCGGGCTTGTGAGCGTCGACCAAGACGTTGCGCGGGACCCCTTGGATGTCGACCGAGGTGTTGCCGCTGGGTTTCTGGCCGGCGGCCTCGTCGGCCACCCTGACGTAGGGGACGATCAGAGCCTTAACAGCGTCGAGTAGCTGCAGGCAGGGGAAGAAGGGGGAGACATGTCAGTCAGACGCATCGGATGCAGGAAGTGTGCACCGCCCACTTACACCACCAGGATACTTACATCCTCGACTTCTTCGGCTCTTTTGAGAGTTGAAGGGGCGGCATGGTGCCCGTTTGTGCCGTTCATGGTGACTTCGCAAATGTAAATGTTAGAGTTCGCCCCACTAGACGAAGAAAAAGATTAAAAAAAAAAACCACTTTAAAAAAACTTCAGGAAACCCCGCCGGGATGGACTAACTATCGGCAAAGATAATTTCCCCCTACTTTGCGGCGTTACAGGAAACTTCTCGGCCAATCCGATATAAGCTCCGGACTTTTTCTGTCTTGAATTGATTGCCCTGACTGTCGTCTCCCGGGTGAGTCAGTCGCTGGTGAGGAAATTCTTCAACGGCCGGCCGTGGCACGTCCCCGATGACGGCGCGTCGGAGCAAAGTGGCGTGAACCCCCCTCGGCTGGGGAGGGAGGGGCAGACGGGCTAGCCGCTCTCGCCGCCGGGGAGCCGACGGATTTGATAATCAACGGTCGTTTTCTCCCAACCATCGATGCATTGCCGGGCCACAACCAGCGATTGCGCCATCGTCCCCTGTTTTTCTGGTTCTCGGCCGTGCACAAAGAGCTCGTCGGACGACAAAGGCGTCAAATCCAACCTGGGTTCCCGAGGGCCGCGCGAATCTACGGCAGGAATGAGTGTGCAGCGCAGCGCAATCAATCAGCCAATCCATCGACCCCATCCAAACCCCGTCCCAAGCCCTCGGGTCAGCCATGTCTTACTCACCGCAAGTGCCGGCCGAAGGGGCCGATGGCCCCTCTTTCCGAGGCCGCGAGAAGAACTCATTTCACCTGCCGAATGCGCCGGGAAGGGCTACACGAATCGAGCGTGTTGGAACCGCTCGCAGGCTTTGCAATCAGCGTAATGTCTCCCTGCTAGTGTTGGCCCCCGCTGTTCCTCCACCCACACGGACCGACGATGCAAACGTCCTTGTCATCAACCGGCGACAGGCTTTTTTTGGGTCCATTGGGCGCATTAAACAGCCCGGAAATGGCGTGGAAGGGCACGGCGAATACCGTGCGCGGCAAATATTGACGCTGCCACGGGGCTACGTACTATATGTAGATGTAGATGCGATGTGGGCGTTTTGGGCAACCAGGCCCCGTCCGTGCGCGTCTATTTGGGGAGAGATACTCGTCCAAGCCTTTTTTTTTTATTTCTTTTTTTTTCTATAATTCATTTAAGTGATGAGTGGGAAAGAGCCGCGGAGTCTGTGGATCGTCATTTCTTGGATTTAATTCTGTAAATGAAGAAGGAGGGGGGAGCTCGGGCCCTTGGGGAAAAGGTCGTCGTCGGAACTGTATGTCACGAGGCGCTCAACATCTATCCGCCCTATGTTTTATTTTTGGGAAGGGACGAACCGAGAGCCGGGCGTAGGGTGAAGAAGGAGAGCCAACAGGCAGGCGGCATTCATTTTGAATGAAGTGCCACGGGGGGGGGGGGGGGGGGTGTTCACGGCATCATCCTCTCTCCCTCCCGCCATAGACCGACCGGTCCCTTAACGGCTTCTGTAAAATGGTCAAGTGATGGACGACAGACGTGATGGATGTCGGCAGATAAGACTTGACGTCGTGTTGAAACGGGCTTTGTCATCGCCACCGCCGTCGGGGCATTGGCACAGATGAGGCTCTTGCAAAGACAATCAAGAGGGGAGAAGGCGAGAAATAAATTAAATAAAAACGAGTAGGGGTTTGCAGTCGCTGTGCCCCTCCCCGCGGATGCACATGCCCTGGTTGCCGCTGCAGCCTTTCCATCCCCCCCCTTTTGCTGCATGTCAGACGGCGCGAGCGCGGGACGTACCTTGACGCGCCACGTATCCGTACCTAGGCTCTGCACTACCAGTACCTACATACATACGTCTGGGTATCAAGCTACGTAAGGTAAGGTAAGGCAAGGCAAGGCAGGTAAGGTAAGGGCCGTAAGGCAACGTGCCTTGGCTTGCGGGGCGACCACGAGGGAACCCCGTTTGCTACAGGCCGATGCCGGAAGACACACGTGGTATCATGTTCAGCGGCGGACAAGAGGACACAGAATGCCCCAGAAAGGATGGGAGGGGATGACGGACGAGACAGCGACGTCTCACCTCGGTTGTCTTGTTTCTCCCGGAAGCTGAAGGACCGGATACGGAGCCCAGCTTCTGGTTAACCAAGCGACCATGAGGACCAAAAGACCCAAAGGGCTTAAACATAGGCGTCCATGGCATCCGCGCTGAAGACATCCATTCATTCATTCATTCATTCATTCATTCATTCATTCATCCGTCATTCCTGCAGAGCAAGAGCAGGCTTGCATTGCATATCATGTCCACACGGAATCGGCTCTTGAGGAAAGGGGAAAAAAATAGAAAATAAAGCAAAAAAAAAAAAAAATAGAAATCAAAAAATTGGTAAAAAGACGTTGCCGTTCGGAAGGGCATCAACGCCACCAACGCCCATTGGGGGGGGAGCAAGCTGCGTGTTTCAACCGGCTAGGCGGAATGGGGAAAGGGGGTGGTGTTTGGGGGGGGGGGGGGGTCTCATCGGCGGGTAATTCCTGTTTCCTGGCCTCGGCTCCTCCTGAGATTCCCCTTCAGGTGGTCACGGACGATCATCTGCCTCACCCGGAGGGGGGGGAAAGGAGTGGTTGAGGAGGTTAAAGACTTTTGCATCATCGCCCACCTGGCGCACCCAGCCCATCCCAGCTCACCCCCAAATAGTACACAGCCGGCGTTCAGTCTCGTGCTGCCATCATTGCAAATCAGTGTCATGCCGCGAAAGGGGGGGGGGGGGGGGGGGGGTTCTCTCCCCTACCCACGGCCATTCCGAAAAGAATATCCCGTCCGGTAGGTAATATACACTATATAGGACGGATGCTATGGGAAAACGGTTCGATTTTGATCATTTGGTCGATTAGGAGGTGCCATCGTGACGGTTCGATGCTGGCGCTCAGATCCTCCCCCCTTGGCCCGCCTATCAATAGCAAGAACACTAACGCGCGTGCGTTTCTCTCTCTATCACTTTTCTGTCCACACCGTCTCCCATCTCTCCATCTCTTGTCTTGTGGTGGCAACTCTCCACCCCCCCCCACCCCCGGTCGCCGCACTGACAGTGATACCGGGCAAGCAGCCAGCATCTTTGACATGGCATACTTCCGTATAGATAGGTAGGTTCGTTCGGTTTGTTCATCATCACATGACTTGCATATTTCCTCACATTTGGCACCCCGCGACGTCAAACACACGAGACCATTCATTCTGCAAAGTGGCCGACGGCCGCAACGTCTGGGAAAAGAGGAGCCGCGCAGCACTGGACATGTTCATCGAAACTCCTGTTGCCGTCTAACAAGCTTCATCCCTCCCCTCGTTCCCCTCGTTCTCCTCCCATCATTTCCCAGAAAGAGGGGACCACGAGGCTCGAGCATCCGTCCCATTTCTCTTAAGGTGGGCGGGCCTGTAAACATCACCCATCCCGTCCATACCCACCTACAGCAAGCTAGCTACCAGTAAGTAACCCTATGCTCTCTCCCTCTCCGGCCCCAGATGCCGACAAATGAGAAGACCAATAAGATACAGTAATCAAGGAAGGGGAAAAAAAAAACCAACAAGAAAGGCGGAGCAACACCAGCCAGGGAGAAGGACAGACAAGAAGAAAGAAGGAAAGAAAGAACGGGAACAAAATAGCAACAGCCATTTCCCCTGGTCTTGTCTGGTCTGGCCGGTATTGCTTTTCCAATCTTATACCCTGCCTGTCTCGTGTCCCCTCCGTCGAGGAGCTGGAGGAGCAAGTGCAGTGTGTCCGACTTGACTGCATAACTGACTGAATAATTGACTGATTAACTCGGTCACTGAGAAGGGGGGGGGGGAGGGGAGGCAGTGTCGACTCTACGGATACTTCCCTCAGCATCACTACAATCTACTACCAAATACTACGTTACGCATCTTCCTCACCTCCTCTTCGGACTTTTTCATGCCCTTCCCGCCCCCAAAAAAGGGGTCCATGTCCATGTTCATCAATCAATCCAGCCTGTCCTCCCATTCACACTCGCCCTCCTTTCCCCTTGGTGCCCAGTCTCGTCATCCCGACACTACCCTGGTACCTCCCCTACACGGATACCTAACTAAACCTACGAATCCAATCCAATCCGATCCCACCACCACCACCATCATCGTTCGATCAACCTCGACCTTTCCCACACACACACACACACACACACAACCCCGTGCACATACTTACATACAATACCACACTTATAGTGTGTACATATACGCAAAGCCACCCACCCCACCCGCACCCCCACCTCATCATCCACGCCTTACCTGCAGGTATAACAAATCCCAGCACACCGTCATCACATCATTAGGTATATCCGGCTAGCTCAGCCAACATCATCCATCTCCCTCACACCTCCTCATCTGCACTCCCAAACCATCCATCTAATTATCCATCTGTCGCCCGCATCTGCACGCTACCTACCTACGCTGGCTTACCTAGGTAGTTGGACGCGATTGACCAACGAAATCCTCTCATCCTCTTCTCCCCTTTCACCCCCCTCCTTCCCCTGCGCAAGCTTCCCTCTCCCACAACAAAAGCAAGTGGTTTGTTTCACCCGCTCCTCATATACAGAGGAAGCCCTTTCAAAACTATTTGCGTCCACCACCACCCCAAGTGGCGTTCTGATCCGCTTTCCCACTGCAACGCCTCCATCTCTCGCGCGCCGCCAACCCAACGGGCCGAATATCCTCAACGTTAATCTCCAAATACAACCTCCAACCTCCGACCTCCCGACGACCAAATCTCCAATACCACATCAACTCAACACCGTCCGTCGCGAGCAACACAACCACACCCGCGTCACGACGCAGACCGCGTCAGAGAAGCTGCTGGAACAACACCACACGGACGCACCCACTTACTCACTCACCCACGCGACTCCTGCATCGTTTTCCTTCTCTTCCATCCATCTCGCGCTACTATTACACGCAGTCCCAAACGGACGATCCTTCTTCTTTTTTTTTCTTTTCTTTTTTTTTTTTTTTTTGGAGGCCGCTCCCGCCAACCTGACGCCACAACCCTTCTTTTCTTTTTCTTGATTTAATCCTGGTTCGGACTAGTAGTAACAAGGTCAAACCGTGCCCGCGTGGTCTGAGAGCCAAAACGAAGCGAAGTAACAGCCGCAGCACCACCACCTACCACCTAAAAAAAAGGGTTGTCCGTCTCTTATCTGACCTCGCCTACCTTTTTGTTGCCCGACTGGTCATTCTTTCCATATTTAACTTTCACTCCACGTGTGTTGACCCCTCCGTAAAAGCTTGGTGTCCTCCTGGGAACACCTCGCGGGGACCTACTCATATTCCGCTACCCTCGATCTCGCTTCGCTCAACATCCATCGTGGAGTTTACGTCGCAAACCAACCGAGTCCAAAGTCCGACGCTCACAATTCCCAAACGGTTACACGCGACGCGTCACGACACACACCCGAGGACGACCTGCACCACCGCCGACATCGATCCCTGCAACTGAGCTCGCCTCCGAGATTACGAGGGAAATCAAACCAACATCCATCTCACAATGTCAACCTCTCAGCAACCCCCGGTACCAATCTCAATCACCATCTGCGGCGATGGCGGCTGCGGAAAGTCCTCCATCACCCTCCGCCTCGTACGCTCGCAGTGGACCTCCGAATACGACCCCACCATCGAGGACTCGTACTCCATCACCCGCAAGATCGACGGCCAGAACTACCACCTGTCGCTGACGGACACGGCCGGCCAGGAGGAATACCGCGGCATGTGGGCCTCGTCCAACCTCGGCGCCGACGCCTTCCTGCTCGTTTACGACATCACCTCATGCGACTCCCTCGACGCCCTCCAGTACTTCAACGACCTGATCGACATGGAGGCCGAGACCCGCCTCGACAACGCCGACCGCGCAAAGCGTGCCGGCCTCACCCCTGCCTCGTACCGCGACACGGTCTCGGTGGCGCCGGGCGCCAAGACCGTCCCGCCCGTCAAGATCGTCGCCGGCAACAAGTGCGACCTACAGGAGTCCCGCGAAGTGTCCGCCGCCCTGGGCCTCGACTGGGCGCGCCGGCACGGGTGCGGCTTCATGGAGACGAGCGCGCGGCTCGAGGTCAACATCGAGGAGACCTTCGCCCTCATCGTCCGGCGCGTGGTCGAGGCCCGGCGGATGGCCGAGCTGGGCGTCAACGAGAACATGGAGATGGACCGCCGCGGCATGACGAAGCCCCTGAGCCCCTTGCCCGCAGGCAGCGAGAACGAGAAGCACGGCTCGGGCGTACGGGACTCGAGTCGCAGCGGCAAGACTAGCATGGGGTCGATATGGAGGAAGCTTCGGTGCTGGTGAGCCCAAACGCCGGATAGAGAAGAGAGAGGGGGGGGGGGCTTAATCGCATATGGGGTTGGGCGGAGAGGCTGGGCCCAAGAAGGCGATGTCGGGCGCACAGGAATACCGAAGTAGCTTCTTGGACCGAGAAGGGCACGTCGATACGGCGATGGCCAACACGGGGAGGGGGGCTAGATGAAACGTCATGACGGTATAACGCGCCACGTTGTATGAAAGCAAAAAAGAAATTACGGGGAGAGGCGACGGCAAGATTGTTCTTTTTTTTTTTTTTTTTTTTGCTTCCCCTTTTTTCGCATTACTTGGTGTACTTTTTTTTTTTTCATATCTTCTACTTTTTTTTTCCTGTCTCTTCGTTTCTGTTTTCTTCGTCTTTTTGTTCTTCTCCCTCTGCTTTCCCCCCCCCCTTTTCTGGTAAATCTTGCCGGGCGTGTGAAGGATCTGTGGCTAAGGGACCTTTTACCCACGCCAAACGAGTCAAGCAGAGTGGTTTTTTTCCTCCCTTCCAGGGGGGTTTTATCATGTGCACAAGGGGCATCGAGAAAGGGAAAAAAAAAAGAGGGGGGGGCGGAGGGCGTTTAAGGAGTCTCGAGAGCGCATCAGCTCTCGTCCGGGTAACCTATTTGTACCGGAGTGCGGGAAAGGGATATGTGTGTACAAAGTCATTGCTCCATGTCAACATGCATTCTCCGGTCGAGGCGGCCAGATGTTGAGAGGGGGGGTGAGGGGCCTGTGTCTGCGAGAGCGTAGTTATTTTACTAGATACCAAAGAACGCGCTATGAATATTGGACTTGATTAACGAGATGCGCCCACAGGGGTTCACTTGGTTTGCCGAGCACTGAATATCAATTAAGCCAAGTGTTGTAATATGCGTGCATATATATATATATATATATATATGCCTAACATTGAGGAAGAGTATAGTATATATATCACTTTATAAAAAGACCAAAAAGAAAAAACTTGTTGAGAGTGAGTGAGAGAGAGCACCGCCGTAAGACTATTCCATATGGGAATTCCACAAATTTTGGCATTTCCCAATCTGTTCGAGGAACGCCGTTTCGTCAATCGGTAACTAAATATGAAATATAATATTCGAAGTTTAGACGGAAGAAACCTCGTCCTGACAACCAGGTCTAGCTGGTGATTCTGGACGCGGTCTGCTTCCACAGGCTGTTGTGGGACCAGGACCAGTTTTTGAGGAAGGGAGGGTCCATGCCCGTCTCAAAGGCCTCGATGCGCGCGGCGATCTGCTGGTTGCGCAGTGTCTCGCGGGCGGCGGCGCCGCGGTTGTGCAGCCGGGGCATGCGGTCGATGGCGTCCATGGCGAGGCTGAACCGATCCGTCTGGTTGCGGATTGCGAGCTCGAGGGGCGTGTCGATATTGCCCTTCTCCTTATAGCCGCGGACGTGGAGGTTCATGTTGCCGGGCCGCTTGTACGCGAGGCGGTGGACCAGCCAAGGGTAGGAGTGGAAGTTGAAGATGATCGGCCTGTCATCGGTGAAGAGGGCAACCCACTCGGCATCGGTAAGGCCGTGCGGGTGGTCCTCGTGCGAGATGAGCTTGAAGAGGTCGACGCAGTTGACGCAGCGGATCTTGAGGTCGGGGAAGTGCTGGAGCAGCAGGTCGATGGCCGCCAGGGACTCGTGGGTCGAGATGTCGCCGCACGAGGCCATGACGAGGTCGGGATCCTCGCCCTGGTCGGTGCTGAACTGCGGCCAGATGCCGATGCCTTTGGTGCAGTGCTCAATCGCCTTGTCCATAGTCAGGTACTGTAGGTGATCCTGCTTATCGGCGACAATGACGTTGACGTAGTTGGATGAAGCGAGGCAGTGTTCCATGGTGGAGAGCAGACAGTTCCCGTCGGGCGGCAGGTAGATGCGGACGACCTCGGGGCTCTTGTTGGCGACGACGTCGAGGAAGCCGGGGTCCTGGTGCGTGAAGCCGTTGTGGTCCTGGCGCCAGACGACGGCCGTCAGAAGGATATTGAGAGAGGCAATCTTGTTGCGCCACTCGACCTCGAGGGCTTTCTCGATCCACTTGCAGTGCTGGTTGACCATGGAGTCAATGACATGGACTAGACACGGTCAGCGGGAAACCGAACCAAGACTAGTATATGCAGGGGGTCGATTGGGTGACTTACTGAACGGCTCATAGCTGTTGAGCAGTCCGTGACGTCCGGTCAGGATGTAGCCTTCGAGCCAACCCTCGCAGGTGTGCTCGGAGAGCATCTCCATGACGCGTCCCTCCGGGGCCAGGTTGCCTCCGTTGGCATCCTCCTCAAAGTATTCGCCCATCCAGACCTTTTTTCCGGCCTCGTAGACGGCACCGAGCTTGTTGGACTCGGTCTCGTCAGGCCCGAAGAGTCGGAAGCTGTTCTGGTTCAGGGCAATGACGTCCCTCAGGTAGGTGGCCATGTTGTTCATGCTGGCAGCGGTGGTGCCGCCAGCCTTGTCGACTTTGATGGCGTAGTTCCTGAAGTCGGGAAGCTTGAGAGGCTTCCTCAGAAGGCCACCATTGGCGACCGGGTTGGCGCTCATGCGGCGGTTGCCGGTAGGGCAAAGCGCCTTTAGTTCGTCTGAGATGCGGCCGTCCTCGAAGAGCCACTCGGGCTCGTAGCTGCGCATCCACTTCTCGAGAACCTTCAGGTGCTCGGGGTTGGTGGCCGCACTGGGGACGGGCACTTGGTGAGCTCTCCAATAGCCCTCCACGTAGTTGTCGTCAATCTTGCGGGGGCCAGTCCAGCCCTTGGGGCTGCGGAGCACAATCAAGGGCCAGATGGGGCGGAAGGCCTTGCCGGAATCGCGGGCCTGCTTCTGGAACTTACGGATCTCGAGGACGCAGTGCTCCAGGGTAGCCGCCATGGCCTGATGCATGGTGTCGACATCGTCACCCTCGACGAAGTAAGGCTGCCAACCGTAGCCGAGAAACAGGTTCTCGAGCTCCTTGTGGGATATTCTGGCCAGAATGGTGGGATTGTTGATCTTATAGCCGTTCAAGTGAAGGACTGGCAAGACGGCACCGTCAACAATGGGGTTTAGGAATTTTGTGCTGTGCCACGCGGTAGCCAGGGGGCCCGTTTCGGCCTCTCCGTCGCCGACCATGGTCAGCGCGATGAGATTGGGGTGGTCGTATACGGCACCGAAGGCGTGAGAGACGGAGTAGCCGAGCTCTCCGCCCTCGTGGATAGAACCCGGAGTCTCGGGCGTGGCGTGAGAGCCGATACCGCCGGGGAAAGAGAAGGATTTGAAGAACTTCTGCATGCCTTCAACATCCTCCGACTTGTCGGGGTAGACCTCAGAGTAGACGCCCTCGAGATATGACTGAGAGAGGACGGCGGGGGCGCCGTGACCGGGGCCGGAGATGAAAATGGAGTCAATGTCGTACTTCTTGATAAGGCGGTTGAAGTGCATCCAGGTAAAGACCTGACCGGGAGCGGATCCGAAGTGGCCGAGCAGCCTTAACTTCATGTGCTCCTTCTTGAGAGGCTCCCGGAGGAGGGGGTTCTCCTTGAGGAAGATCATACCCAGGCACAGGTACAAGCTCGCCTTGAAGAAGTCATTGTACTTTTTGATATCCTCTTTGGAGAGCGGCTCGTCCTTGACTGTGGACCGGGCTGGGCCATAGGGGCTGATGGACTCGGCCTCCTTGTCGGTCATTATGGAGGGAGGTGTGCAAGCGATGGGTGAGTCGTGTGTTGATGTGTGCAGGCCAAGATGTCTTTGAAGTGGTGATTTGTCTAGGATTACAGAAGACTGAACGAAGTCAGAGGAAGCGTGGTCTTTATAGGTATTCATCTGCACACAGCAGGCTATAGGATAGGGACGACATGCGGCCATTCTGCTCAGCGGCGGAATGACGGGCTCCTCGCTTGAGGTTGATACTCACAGTCTTGGCACCGATCCCAGCCGGGCAGCAGGCGACAGCAACAGCGCAACGTACGTGAAGACTGAGGAGCCATCAGCTGATTTAGACGGCTCTTGCCGGGGTGGGAGGGTAAAGGTTGTGTGTAGGCTGCGGAAACGGAAATGTTAGCAGGGGGAGGGGCTTTGCGAAGGTGCGGAGCGTTGTGATACGCATGTGTTCCCAGCAAGGCCTCAGTGTAAGGGTTTCCAGGCTCTCTTCACCAGAGAACAGCAGAGCCGGAGACATGCCTCGCGTCGCTCCATGGCCGGGGGCCCAATGGGCTGGCGACGCGGGGGGAACAAAGCATGCCATCCATCCTTGGGCATATAAGGGCGCGTCTGGTGGTCGCAATTTCCGGGCGAAGCGGAGCCAGAAGATTGAGACAAGTGCGACTTCAGCCAAGAGGAAAACAGGACTGAGGAGACAGCTGCAGAGCAGATGAGCTGAGGAATTTGCGGGTATTCTCTGCAGGTTGTGCTGTCATGGGAAGCTGGTTGGTCGCGTTTGGTGTGTGTGTGTGTGTAGGGGGAGAGGTGGTCTGATTTTCCGAGTGCGACTCCGTCACCTTATTTACACACACCCCGACAGCCGTCACTCTGCTTGGATGACTCGGCGGGGAGATACCTACCTAGGTCTCTAGATACCTAAGGGTTTTGAGTCGTGATATGTCTTATCGACCGGTACCTCTACCTACATCTTATGCCATGGTCCAGGTACCTACCTATATACCTAACTACCTACCTAGGTAAGTAGATAACAGAAGATAGACGTACCGGTAGAAGAACCGTGACCTTCGTCGTGCCTTCTACTTCTGGCAGAGGAAGGCGCCATTCTCGCTGTAAGGCCACCGTGAAGGAAGGTGTAGAAAGCAAGCCAGCAAGCAAGCAAGCAAGCACACAATTATCTGCTCTAGCTTAGCCACCCTCTGCCTTCCGTTCTCGGGATGGCCGACAAATCCCGATCCGGATCAACACGTCGGACTCCCCTCTCGGCAGCCTCAATACGTCGTCGCTAAGTGGGTGGGCTCACGATCCTGGCTTGAAAAAAAAAATGCAGAAAATGCCTAGGGTAATGGGAAATGATCAGATAAGCACTTCTTCTCGGCGTGACGTCGAACCAAACTAAACCATGTGAACCATGGCATGTATGCATGGTCTGGTCCGCCGAGCACCAGCGCACGCGTGTTCCGGGCTCGTAGTCGCAGTACGAAGTTCATGCAGAAAAAGGCTGGCTACAATCAGCGGCGCGGAACCCGGCCGTCTCCTCGCCCATCGCCAAAAGCAGCTGATTCATCGGCGAGCGTGGACCGGTACGCGAGCATACCTACTTGCATACCTTACGTAGCACAGGTACGGATCATGGTACCGCCTGGGCCCTGATTTGCTTTGCTCTGGCATGTGCCATTCATGCAGACATCACCCCACCATTTTTTTTCCTGCCGTGCTGCCGCAAGTTGGGAGCTTGGGCCCCCACCCCCAACGAGACAGGGAGCGCGCGGGGAGCTCAAGCTCTCCATGGTGGCAGGGTCTTGGTGGTCTCAGTGTAGAGACAGTCATATACCTAGGTACTCACTCACTGTTGGATCATCAAGAAACTTTGGGGGGCCACGATTAACCTCTGCAACCGGATAGTCACCACGTGATAGCCAATTTGCCGGTTCACGAGCCCAAAAACGTTTGTCAGCCCGTAGAAAATCATCTTCGCGAGAAGGACGTTTGCGCGGCGAGGTATCACAGTTGCATGATCTGATAATGGGGGGGGGGGGGGAAGACAGCTTCCCCTCAACCCCCCCCCCCCCCCCGAGCCGGTCGGGATAGGCCTAGCGTCCATTGCGGGGTCGCCGCCGACACGCGGGGACCTACCTATGCAATTCGTCAACGGCATTTCAGGGGTTAGGAGGGGTTGCGGAAGGACTCATGAAGAAGATCAGCAGCCAAGCATGTCCGGACTCTTCACTACCGCTAGTGGTAGTTAGTACATTGGTGGCAGAAGAGCGTCCGTTATTGAACGGTTTCGTCGGTGGCCACACCTGGCTTCGTGCCGCCGCCACCACCACCACCACCTATCAGGTATCAGTATAAGCCGCAGATAGCCAAGAGCCGTTTCTGCCGGCCGCATTCTTCAGACCGAGGATGCTGGACGTCGGAACCAATCCAGTGCCGAGAAACCGTCTCCTTCCATCTGGCCTGATCTCAAAGTGACAACATCAAAAGTCTTCTCGTGCGAGACCACGACCCCTGAAATTCCCCTCGGCCGCGCGGGCTCTTGTACCTAGGCCGTCGGACGACAATACGTTATCTGGACTCCGCTCCAACAAAAACTCTCTCCTACGCTCTTAAACCATCAAGCAATATGCACCCGGGGCTTTGGGTTCACACTCGGACCTCCTATCATCAGAATTCGCTCACCATTACGGCTTGCGTCCGAGCTAACCACGCAGTGCCCCAGTCACAATCCCATCATCTCACCCAACGCAAGTCGACAGCATTCCCGTGGCATGGTAGCCTGACGTCACGAGTCCCCTCCTCTCCGCCGATCAACCGCTTCTGAGGTTCAAAGGGCAGATTCAACGAGTATATATACTTTGACCACCCCCTCATTTACACATTTCCACTCTCCTTTTCTCTTCTCGAGACGAACGACGCGTGGCAGAAACCTCTTTCCCACCAGCTGCCCCTCGACCGCTCAGTTTGATTTGCGTTTACTGACAATCAGGTATCACGCCCACCCTCCGTTTGGCACAATTGCCTTGGACCATGGAGAAAGACATTGATGGCTGACACCCGCTGGCCGAACAAAGTCACACCCGCGGAAAGCGACACAGGGAGATATCATGGCCTTCTCCCCAAACCACAAGCCCCAGACCCCACAGCCTCCTGCGCCCATCCCCATCGAGGACGAGGATGATGGACAGGGCGACGTGACGAGAGACTACTAAGAGGAGAGGACGAAAAAAATAACGCCTGGCAGCTTGTGGCCTATGGAATTCCGGACATTCTGTGGCGTCCGATCATGTGGGCGTGGACGCCCTCCTGCATCTGCGTGTTGCACGAAATATAAGGGGCATCATCACCGGTCCATGTACTATAAAGTCAGGATACTGTACGAGTAAATTGGAAGATTTGACCTCGCGTGACCATGCATCACGATTTCGCATTTTCAGATGATATTGACCACGGCATAATCCCTACTCTGCCGTGCGATGCAGGTTTCTCGGCGACGCCTCATTATGCCACGTAAACTCCGGTCCGTATGCCAGTCCACCTTTTCCATCCTCCCGTCCCCAGAACGATCGACTGAGACCGCCGCCGCACTTCCCGCAACATCAGAAAACACCTTGAGCCTAGCCACTAGGAACTAAAGCTACCCCACGAGCGGATTAGGGTAAGAATGGGGGGGTGAGGTGACAGCTAGCCTTGCTTCGTTTAGTCGCGCGGTTCTGCCGATTCCCTCAGGAGCCATGCTGGCGTGATCAATCGGCTCGCCTGGATCTCGGAAGAATATGATAAATGTGCCTATATCTCACCTACTCCTGCAGCGGATCTCGCAGGCTGTGAGGGATATATCAAGTCATACACAGCTGTCGAGGGGAGGGTGGCATGCATATCTCTCCATCCCGCAGGCCGCAGAGAAATAAAGGCCGGCCTAGGAAGCGGGCCATCTGGCGAGGCGGCTCTTGCATGAGATCCCAGCCTAGCGAGCTCTCGGCCTGCGAGTCGCCCTGGTTTCTTGGTCCCGGCCAGCCACAGGGTTGGCTTGATAGCCTTGCTTCCACCAGCGCCCCCGACAGCCTGGAAGACCCCTCCCCCCAAACTGTGCCATCTTATACTGTGACATGATATGTATTTTCACATTGAAACACCTTCGAGTATCTCGGTTTTGTATAGTAAGGCCCGGGGGGTGGGGGGTTCAACGCGATATCTCTTCTCAGTTCCGAAATGACCCCAAAAATGTCAAATTGCAATGACGTCTGCTTTGCGTCTGCGCTGTATGAGTACAAAAACATCGACCGGCCGACCATCAGTCTGAATCACGTCAAGTAGCCTCAGCGCCGACAGGCGAATATTCCCGTCTGTGTAGGCCACACGGCCCCGGAACCGTCCGCGCATACACAGCTCTCAACGTCTCACGATCCATGCCGGAGAGGCAGCGTAGCGAACCAGACATCCACAATGGCCTCCCAGACCCCCGAGAAACCCGCCTCTTTGCATACGAACCGAGAACCGTCCGTCCCAGGTCATCATTTTCGTCTGCTTAGTTTTACACCCGGATGGGCGTCAAGTCATTATCCACTTACCTTCGTCACATTCGGCTCTTCCACAAGGACCCAACCGCATACGAGAGACGGTTCAACCCAAAAATAAATGACTTCGAGGCCTCCCCAGAAATAGGCATTATCATCCCGGTCCATCAAGCGCTGGAGCAAAAGCGAAATGCCCCCTCACGGGATTGAACCGTGAACCTTCGCATGACGAGACTACGAGTGCGACAGCCAAAGGGGCGGGGCCGTTGCCGGCAATATGGTAGGGTCTACGAGCGAGACATCTCCACATTGACCGCTCGCCCATGTTCGGAACTATGTCCCCAACCCATCATTGTGGCCAGCACAAAGAATGGCCCACACAGGTAAATCAGGATCAGGCGAGAATCGGAATTGTGGAAGACTGGCCATTGAAATCAAAAGGGATCGAATGCGCAAAAAGCAACGGTCAATTCGTATCTATTTGCTTCATGAACTGGGTATTTGGAGGTTTGTATCATGCCGCGTAAGTATTCATGCTAATACCAAGCAACCCCGATACTGCCCCGCTTATGCTTGGGAACGAAGAGGCAACGCCAGCCGTGTTGGGGTCCAAACCATCATTTCCGTAGTGTATATAATGTTTGCCACATTATTTGTACGCAGAAACCCCGAGCCTATGTTACCAGACCATAGCGTGGTGTTGTGGGCCCGGATGAGAAGGGCGAGCTAAGCTCGAAAGCCGAATTGAAGGCTCCCCCAAGAGTGAACCAAGACTGGATTCATCAGTCAATCATGAATCGAACCGATGTTTTCTTCCGTGAAGAACGTCGTAGAGGTGGAGGCTTGTTGAGAGCTAGTGAGTGTCAGCCCCAGGCAAATACAAAACAACTAGTTTATCGCTTACCTGCTCCCCGCCTTTTTAAAGAGCGGCTCCTGGACGAGTCATCCGTCGTGCCACCATTCTTCTATGTTTGGTCGCGTTCCACGGTGTTGGTTGAAAGCCCGCCTGCCGTCGGCGAGGTCTTCGAGGCTGGTTGCGTATCCGCGGTTAGGTCTTCCATATCAATCAGGTCGATGTCTCCGTCTGCGTCGTTGGACCCGTCTTTGTTGGCATTACACCCTTGGCCTGAAATTGGTGGTTCCGGCAGACTGCGCTTAGGGACCTTGACCAGCTCGCGTTCCCTTCCATCCTGAACGTAACAAAGGTAGTACGGGTCGCCGTTGCTATTGAGTGTTTTCAGAACTTCTTCGGTATTCGGTGTCTCCGTCACGGTCCTATCGTTGTACTTGCGCCATACACCGGCTTCGAAGTCGTGAATCCACACCCAGTAATGTCCCGCCCTGAGCTGACCGCTGTGGCAAATCACTGCATGCAGGCGATATGCATGCTTCTTGTGCTGAGAGAAGAGCTCTTCAAGCTCTGCTTTGTAGGCCTTCACTTCTTCAACGCGCATATTGTTGATCTGCTGGCGTCCTTCGGTAGTGAAACCCGCCGTGCTGGGGGGGTCACTCTTGTTGAAAGACGTGTCGGACAGATTGTAAGTTGGGAATGATGAGTCCTCCCCAGCAAAGTCGAGAGAAGAAGTTGGCAGGCCCCCAAGAAGTGACTCAGGCTCCGGAACATCTGCCTTGTTGACATGGACGAAATCATTGACGAAGTTGTCGATAATCTCTGCATCTTCGGCCGTGGTTTTAGGTATGCTGTTGAGCTGTTCCAAACGCTGTTGAAGAGCCCACCCTTTCTGCCTCAGCTTAAAAAAGTATGGATCGTCTGGGGTATCCATATATCTATCAAGATATAACGTCTCAAAGACCTCGACAGGATTCATGTTCTTGTTGCCATTGTTTTGGGTCCTCTGAATGAGAACATGGAGAATAGGGGGGAGCCTCTTGATCGATGTAAAGCGCATGATGTCCTCCTTGCCAGCAACAACTCTCTGGAGGTCAAAGTTGCGACTCAGACCATCATGAATATTGGTTGGACCGGTTTCGGCGGGGTATGCTGTGATCGCACGCTCCAACGTGGAGTCTAGTTTGTACTTGTCCTGGTTAGGAAACTTTGTATGGTTCGTCAACTCGACGTAGAACGTCTCCATGATTGGCTCCCACTGGATTCCGTCCGTGGCGTCTGTTTTCGTGGGTTTGATCGCCGCCTGTAGGCGGTTAATGATGCTGCCCATCACCTCCTCAACGTCCTGTTGCTCCGTGCCGGAAGTCCTTGTCTGCGTCTCCAGGGCCTTGAGCACCCGTTGTTCGACGTTCAGCGATGGAGTCTCAATTCCAGTCATATTTATATCACTGTCAATGGCCAGTTCCGGCGCTGATGCTTCGACCGGCTGGGAGACGATTCTGATGTCCGTCTTGTCCTCGGGCACGTAATCTCTCTTTTCACCATCAATATCCGACATATTGACCAGGGTCTGTGAGCTTACGCTGCTAGCGGTTTCTGAGACCGGGTCAACAGTGACATTGACCATATCAACATCTTCCGCATGTTCTGGTTTCTGCTTAGGAGGCCCTGGGGGAGGCCTTGCGGGCAAAGGCGGGGGAGCAGGGAACTGGGCACCCATGACCTCCAGTGTCTTTGGCTCCGCAGTATCCTTGGCCTTTTGTTGCGGGATGGGATCTTCAGTAAGGTTTGACGTCGGCAGCAGGACGGCATTGGCGAGACGCTGGGAGGGGCGAATAGCGGACGCTTGCGAGCTGCCAAGGTTGTTCAAGAGTCGTTCCAGTTCTTCAACAACTAAAAGAATCAGTAATGAAGTGGCGATGGATGATAGTCGAAAACTTACAAACACGAGCAACAACTGCTTCGGCGCGGTCAATCTTGAGCTTGTTTCCACCAATGAGTCGACGCTGGATATCCGAGTCGTCCAGGCCAAGCTCATGCATAGGATAGTGAGCAAGCAAATCCTTGATGGGAACGACGGTGTTCAGGTATTGGAGAATGCTATTCAAGTAACAGGTGTTGCCGATATTTTCCAGTCCGACCGGGAGATTGGTCGCGGTAGTTGAAGGCAATGACTCGACTTTCTCCTGTTGAGACGGGTCAGATTCCTGTTCAAGGGCTTTCACAGCTTGACGTATTTCGTCGCTGTTCCTGTCGGAAGCAATCGCTTCTATGGCTTTGATAGCGACTTCCGCGGTGGCTTTGCTCCTTGGGTCCTTGTTGAGCTATAATGCAGGAGGCGAGATTAGCAAGACGCCACGTTTGCGATACCCAAGTTGAAACATACCTTGACGCTACACATCATCACGATGGTGCTATCGGGCCACTGGGGATCCGCTTCGAGAATGCGATAAGCCGAGGAGACGTCCATAGGACCATTCGCGTGCGTGAGAATTCTGTCACTATTCCTGTGGCGCCCGATAATCTGAAGCATCTCTTTTGCAAAATCCGCCTGCGCAGGAGAGTGCTCAAGCTTGGTGTTGTAAGCTGAGATGACGTTGTCATCGCTAGCAGTGTACTTAAGACTAAAGAAGGAGTAGGCTTGGCTTTCCAGCTCGTCTCCAGCGCTGTGAGTGCCTGAGAGGTCCATCCCCTCCACAATGGTAAGCTCTTGGATCGCACGGGTTTGGAAATCCTCGTCCGCAGTCAGCAATGCGATATCACGAAGTGCCTCGACGTAGGCCTGACGACGCTTTTCGCAAAGGGCTGACTGCCGGTTGTAGGCAAAGAAAATCAAAGCCTTGTCGAAATCAGGAAGAACACCAAGGACTCGATGCGCATCAGTCGCTGATTGAGGAACCTTATTCTGCGGATACTCAAAGCACTGCAGCTCTTTAAACAGCCTGTTGCCGACATACGGCCGGGTCTCGCCAGGCTTCCCACTTCGGATGATGAGACTCTCCGCCTCAGCCTGAAGGTCCTCGATGAACGCGCGCAACGTGCTAAGTTTTGTCGGTATACCAGGGGTGCCAGGCTCAAGAACAGGAGGGATAAAGTACGGCTCAGAGACACCGTCCTTATCGAGATTCTCTTCCGTAAACTGAATTGCTCTGAAGATGTCATAACATTCATCGCCAAATACAACCTGGAAACGCTTGTTTCGCCGGGAGATGTTGCGCGGGCTGGGCTTATCCAGCAAGTCTCTAAGGTACGTATTCAGAGTGGATGGGGCGCTGGTAGACCAATCGTCCCGGGCATCTGCAAAACGTTCTGGCGAGATCTTTCTGGCTCGGGCCAGGTTGTCAAGAATGCGTTGCTTATCAAGGAGTAGACGCACCCACTCGCGCTTGAGTCGAGGCCGCGAGATCTCAACAGATACTTGGAATGTGCAGCGGGGTGCAGAGCAAGAAAAATGTTCGACCGCAAGCAAGGCCTCTCTGATCATAGGGTGATAATCTGATACAGGTTTAGCGGGTTGCGTCGCGTCTTTGACATTGACCAAATGATGGATGTAAAAGTCCGTGTCCTTTGGGGGAAAGTGAAGATTCTGAGGACGACAGAGACAAACTAGGTGGTCCGGGTCCCATGATGTTCTGATGATGAAGTGGAAGTCACAGTTGCAGCAAACGCAGGACAGGACGCCAGGGTTGCGACCTTCTGCCGTGCTCTGGTTGCCCACAAGGACAAGGCGATGGGGAACGCCGGTGTTGCTGCAGCGCGCCTCGCGGTCCCACTCGATCCTAATGAACGAACCGGAATCAAGATCGGAATTCAGTAAGTCCTGTACCCATCTAGGTGCAAGACGACCTGCTCAACAACCAACATTCATCAGCCACGACATCTTCTACGTCAAAGAGACGAAAAGCATTCGCCATCTTCATGATGTCCACAGGGCATAGGATATGGCTACTTGACGTACCAGTCTTTCCAAGCATGTTTTCCTTGACGGGCGCGGGCCTTCCCTCCCAATGTTCGGCAGTTGGTGAGTCACTTGGTGACATAATGGAGTATTGATCCGAGATGACCATGGTTATATAACTGGCTCAGGGTAGTGGTTGGCTTCGTGGCTCGCCGGGTGAAGTTGTCTTGGCAGTGGGGTGAGTAGTATGCCCAAGAGAACATCGTTGGAACAAGATCACCTACTCAGATCGCCTCGCAAAGCCTTGTAGACTTTAGCCTAGAATAACATGCGTCAGGTCGGGACCAGCACGATGTAAGTGCTGTGGCGAGCAGTTACGGTTTAACGTATGTCTCTTAAGAGCTCCGTATGCACCGCAGGAATAGGTTATGTCTGTCGAGAGATAGGGAGTTCGTCGAGCTTAAACGACGTCGGCAGGCGAGGAAACCTGGGTCAGCATCAAGGTAGAGAG